TCTGATGTTTCAGAGAGCGGGCTTCGCGGGTGGCCTGGGACAAATTGGAGCCCAGAGTCTCACTTTCTGTCGTCGATTCAGCCAGACTTTGTTCTAATACGTCAATGGTTTTGGTTTTATTCTCCACTTCGCGGCGCAGTGAGAGAATTTCGGAAACGAGCGAGGCATGGAGGGTGGGCGTAATCCTTCGCGGATCGAATGGTGACAATGTATCTTCCTCAGTGATCTCTTCGCTGTCACTTTGTCCGTCCGGAGAAAGTGCCGGCGTCGGCAGTCCGGGAGTCGATGAGGACGGGCCGGGAGATGACTCTCGTCGACGTATAGAAGGCCGAGACCTCGCCCGTGCCGTAGACGGACCCCGTGTCGTGGTGGACGGTGCTGGGGATGGTTGAGCCATGGAGGCAACCGGGGAAGGTAGGTCCATGGCCATTGCTGCTGCGCATCTACCAGATAAAAGGCTTCAGACCATCACCAAAGCCTTGTGCTAGCCAGAGCACGGCACGACTAGTCCCCATCAACAGGCTGACATTCGACGGCGACCAATTGTTGCCGGGAGTCGAGTCCCAATGCGCGCCTGTCGCAAATTGATTCTCGGCGGCCTCTCGTCGGCGATTATTAGAAGGCAGGAGAGGAGGTGCAATCGAATAGGATAGGACTTTGTAAAAACAATCGGTCAGCCACGGGCCACAGCGCCTATGGGGGTTGCACGGGGGTGAGGGCAATTTTGAATCTTCATGGGGACACCTCAACTCTACTTACAAACCAGAGAGACTTCGAAAATAGCAGATACCCGTCTTGTCGACTGCAGGTGACGAGTAGGCTGTCAACTGCTCCCCGGAGGAGAGAAGGAGGAATGGATCAGTCCAGCTTCGAGGAGAGATAATTTGATCGTGATCGCTCCAGCGGCGCAGACGAAAAGCAGAGGGGGATGAACCGGAAGGCAAAAGCGAGATCGTCGAGGATTACCAACGAGGCAATGATCCGAGAAGCACCTGTACCGAGTAGTCCTAGCCAGTTACAATGCCGGTAGATGGATGGAGCACGTTAGGGACACAAGATCTGCCTTGCGGCAAAAGACAGTCCTGTGAGGGCCAGGCAACTCTGTCGAGTAACTAGCTGTATTAGTTACCAATGAACGACAAATCGAGGATCCAGGGGGTGTTCGTTAGGGGGGCATGGGGAAAGCAAGAAACAGACCCGATTAGCCCTGGAGCTGGCCGATGCTCCACTGGAAGCTGCCACCCAAGACACTAGAAATGGATGTTAGCAGACAAGGAAAGAAACCCTTCGCGGTGGCCAGTGGTCTGTTCCGGCACGGGAAAGCCGTTCCATACATCTAAAACCTTGATGGTTGCACAATTGCCCACGTTCTGGACAGGGAATAAATAATGAGGGCGGAGTACGCGGTGCAAAAAGCCACAGGTCCAGCTCGAAAAGGAGTGTTTACGAGCACGGTTTGGGTTGAGGAATATCGAATCCACTACAGGGCCGAACCAGTCCTAGCATGGGGAAGGTGTTCGTTCGTCGGTGACGAAAGAATCGAGATTCTCCACCGTCACCAGGCTGCTCTCAAATTCTAGAGAAAGGAGAAGATCCTCTTGAGATTCTTCTATTTTTTTTTTTTTTTTTTTTTGCGTGCGATCCTACGAGATCCTCGACCTGCATCCGGAGCCCATTGCGCTGGGTAATCTAACCCAGGCGGAATGATCCCCCGAGAGCTAAGGCGAGCGAATCGAATAAATTGGGCTCCCAGAAAAAAGGAGTGGGCTGCTAGCGCATTTCCCCTGTGCTGGCGCTGGCCAGTCCGCTTTAGCGTGTTGTCTGATCGTCGTAGGCAATTTCAGTCGACACCCTGTGGTCTGGTCCGTGTCTCGAATTCTGGCTTCGCAAGCGTGTTTCATCTGCATGGGCACGGGGCCGTTCGCTGGGCATTGATTATTATTCCTTAGTGAATATGTCCTCCGTACAAAGCAGAAGAATGAAAATGTTAGGGGGGCTACCCGAGGGAAAGAAAAACAAAAACAAGTGGTTATTATTTGTGAGACCCATTCAAGGTCTCCACCATAAGGTCCTGGGGGGCGCTCCACTGCTTTGGCCGGATTAAGAAGAACCAACCTCGTGCTTGCTTTGTTTTTTTCTGGCCGAAATGAAATCTGGTACGCGCTTGTTGGATCTAGGCTCCTCGTGGTCCCTGAACGCCCCTGTCAGATTTGACCTAGCCTTGCTGGGTAACACTAAACTGTTAGATAAACAATTTCTCACCTGTAAAGTCTCCGGCTTCGTCCGGCCACAGACTCCACGCGTTGCGACCGTCCTAGCCTGATTGCAAATCTGACTCGAACCATTCAGACCCACTTCGTCGGCTTCAGGGGGATCAGATCGCGTCCTTGTGCCGGGCCGTTGGATGACAGGTCAAGTTAAAGTGACCGTCTCCGTAGTTTAGTTACTTCTCTCAGCTGGAATTAATATCTGCAGGGTCCGTGGGTTTCTTTGTTTTTGACAGAAGCACTAATGCTGGGCGGGTGATACACATACATTAGCTAAAGGCCGGGGATCTTGGCTGGGGACACCGTAAATTAACTATGCGCGAGGAATCGTCGATAATTACGTTAACACCTGACATTCATACGGGAATGCGCCTCAACCGTGACGATTGCGTTGTAGGTTGTCTACAATGTTGTATACGAGCTGTCGCCATGTGTCTTGGACGAGTCTATTTCTATCCCTTGCTTGATCCGCCACATGGAGAGTCAATGCCAACGCCACATGAGATTCTCTCGATGCGATCTCTTGATTGGTTCTTGATTGTCTTTCTCGACACTTCAGATCTCATTTTAATAATCGTGGGGTTCCATTATTGTCAACAGCCTCGAAGCCATAACTGTATACCTCAAACAGAGGTGACTATCCCTCCACTTGCTTACCGTCTTGCTGGAATGATCTATATCACAAGCCGCCGGGGTGCAAAAACGTGTCTGATTTGTAAAATTATCTTAAGATATGGATCTCTAACCCGAGTATCGGCAGAACAATCTGGCTGATTATCACGAATTCTGACTAAGCTCCAAGAAGGCCGAAGTCACACAGCTCGTGCTCTGCGTGGTTCTATCTTGCGAGTTCCTCTCTGTTCAATAACGCAGCAGCCATGTCGACTGAACACCCACCCAGGACTCTGTTTTTTGATACCTTTGGGACGGTCGTTGAATGGCGTTCATGCGTCACCACGGCCTTGCAGACCGCTGTCCAGCAGGCCTTAAATGACCCCCAAAAGAACTTGTCGGCCAACGTGCGGGAACATGCGTCTGCAATGAGCTCACAGGACTGGTTGGCTCTCGCCGTAGAATGGCGCCAGTCCTATGGCAAGTTCACTAAAACTTTCGATCCTTCCAAAGAGTTCGTGTCAGTAGACCAGCACCACTATAACGCCCTACAAGACCTACTACGGCAACGGGGCATCTACGAGCTGTTCACCGACAATGAATTGTGGGAGCTTGCTTTCTGCTGGCACCGACTTGATCCGTGGCCAGACAGCACACGGGGGTTGGAATTGCTGAACCTCAAATTCGAAACTGCCACTTTGTCTAACGGCAATGTATCCTTGCTTGAGGACCTTAAGAGACATGGGCCCCTGCCTTTCACCCATCTCGTCAGCGCGGAGCATTTTGGGGCCTACAAACCCTCGCCCAAGGTTTATCAGGGGGCAGCCAACATGGTCGGGCTGGAGCCGGCGCAGTGCGCGCTGGTAGCCGCGCATCTTAATGATTTGAAGGCGGCCAAGAGTTGTGGGTTTCAAACGATTTATGTCGAGCGGGACTTGGAGGAATCCCTGCCGCCGGATCAAGTTGAGCAAGCCCGGGTGGAAGGATACGTTGATATGTGGATTAGGCTGAACAAAGGGGGCTTCCTTGAGGTGGCTCGGCGGTTTGGTATTGAGTCGGATTCATAAACTGACACCAGGGTCAAGTATTAGGTCATAATCTGTTGAATAACCAGACATTTTGTTTATATAATGTTAGCTTTTCGTTTCGTCACGTCGGATTCGCCCACTTGATTGAGTCTTGTCCGTTGCCGTCGTCCCTCTACATTTAAACCACTTTTGCGTCTCAGATTTGAGACCCGAGGCGACGACTACGGTAGGGGAAGCTAGATGGAATTAGGAAATTCTATAAAATCTCGCCTAGGGTTTCTAAAATAGACAAATTAGATGATCCTAGGCGGAACGGGAGCTCTCGAAAATGGCCTATACGGCCTAGAGGGGAAAGGGCGTGAGTTACTTTAGACTAAGTTAGTGAAAAAAGTGTATCGAGTTGATCTAACTCAAGAAAAGGATTTCTTTATTCGGCATTATTTGTAAAGGCGAAGCTAGGTTTGAGCGTAGGGAAAGTTAAAAGATTTTCTATCATAGAGTCTAGTATGTTACTACTAAGATGTTGCTAATGCGATTCTACTATAGCGCAATAGAACGCGATAGAAACAGAAAAACTACCAAAGGTACGTTCGCTATTCGGTAGACGAGAACTAGCTTTTCCTCTTACATTTTTTTCCTACGCAATGAGGATATCGTGGACTATCGAAGGCGTAAACACTACACTATTGACCCGGACATTCGGCCTTAGCCTCTACGACGAAATTTCTTGCCTAGTCTCGTAACAGATTATTAAACGTGGAGACTTCACGACAATGGCAGCCGCAATCCCTGCATTGCGAGTGAGAATGCGAACTAGTCATTCGAGCCTAATGCTCCGACTTGCCTATAGTAGGTGCTAAGTCTGGCGGCGAGTAGATCGTCTCATTAGACTCTAGCAATCAAGGTTGAGAGCTAATAGGCATAGATGGGTATAGGGATCTATTGTGTAATTGTCGAAAATGTTGTTCACGGTGAGGTAGGAATTAACGGCTTCTGTGGTGATCGAACTCTACAACGCGAACCTTGATCCACAATACCACGCTTACCTGCAGACTTCGTATGACCCTCTTTTTCATTAACAGTATGTAGCTAATCAGTTCCGTACTAGAACAACAATACAAAAACTAGGCTTTGATGAGTAGCAGTTCACACTTTCAATCCTGAACCCGGCTTGCTCCACCAGTGCCTCCCACTGATCTCGCGTTCGCTCCATCGCCCCGAGGGCCATCGCCATCCCAATATCAAGTGTGGCGGCCTGCCAGTGAACGCCTGTCTTATCCAATACCATTTCATCGATCAAGACCTTGCTTCCCACGTCCGAAGCTTCCCTTAGCCGCCGCAAAATCTCCACACACTTGTCGTCTGGCCAATCATGTAGCACTGTGCGCAAGTAGTAGAATGTAGCCCCCTTAATGGGGTTCTCTTTGAAGAAGTCGTGGCTCATGAATTCAATACCAGGAACTTGGGGAGCTTCCTCGATAGTGGCAGGCAGGTCTTGGCAGATCACCCTTCCCGGTAGACCAGGATACTTTTCACGCAGGCGAATACATTGCTGTCCAAAGCTGCCACCCACATCAACAAAGACAGGAGTATCTGCAAGGACATTGTCACCTAGGTAGTCTCGTAAGGGGAACACATCTAGCCATTCGCCCGGTCGCGGGATGGTCATCGTGTGCTGAAAGTGTTTGAGTCGCTCAGGTTGAGTGTTAAACCAGGCGAATATATCTAATGCAGTGTGATGACCAAGCTGTATAGGAGTGTCCTTGGGGTCCGTGATATCTTGATATCGATGGGATTTGAGAAAGTCAGGCAATACTTGCACAGCGGTTCCAAGATCATCGAAAATGTGGTGACATGCGCCCACAAACGAAGGTTGAGCCCAGCGTTTTGTCATTCTGTTCGCGTTGTACGTGTTATGGTCTGTCTCATTAACGAGACCATTCGCCGCTAGGTTGCGCAGTATGCGGCCCAAAAGGAGTGGTGCGGCACCGGTCTGCTTGGCGAGCATCTCTACCGTCAGGGGGTTTGAAGATTCCGCGATAATGCGAAATAGATCGAGGTCGCAACCTATGCGAATCATGGCAATTTGTTGGTGCTGTTTATTGTCTGTCAGATATACTTCCTTTAATCAATAGCTCACTGCCTTGTAACAAACTTGATTGATATGCCTTATCACAGTTTCCCACGGCGTTTCCATCGACTGAAGAGCGTCACGTAGCGCAATTTCAAGCTTCGCGCGGCCAGTGTCATCAGTTTCACTGGCGAAACTTTCCACTTGAGCAATCAGTGTCTCCATCTTCCCTGTTCAGATGATATAGTTTGGATAGGGATATAAAGTTTATATAGGTTTGGCTTGACATTCTCTTATATGTTCCTAATAAGGTGACCCCGCTTGAATAGCAACATGATGTCATACATTCGCTTGACCAAAAAGTCCGTGCTGGACCTTCACCACTGGTTTTCGCTGAACCATACCACGTGTTCCTACAAGTTAGTTTGGATTTGTGAGAGATAGAATTATCGTGTACCTCATCGTTTCTAGGGCTAGCCTTAGAGCTTTCTGGCAGTAGGTGAAGAACAGTTGGAAATTTCAAGGGGCACAAAGTGGCTGGGTTCATGCGTGAATGACTTTTGTACATCTACGTTAACTATGTTTTGGTGTCCTCGTCCAAGTCGCAACCGTTCCAGAGCGGCTCGCAACACGCTCGATCAGATTATGCGATCTCACGATGGCGATATCAACACTATACCGACGTGTGCTATACTACCGGAAATAAGAACATATCAACGGTTTCCACACGTCAACGGCCATTGTGTACGTAGTGAAAAATCTGGTATCCCTGAAGTATTAACGCTGCATCTGCCAATAGCAATGGATTTTTTATTTTTATTTTATTTTATTTTGGAACAATTCGGCCGATGTTTAAAAGACTTCAACTGAGGACGATTCCTGTTGATATGAGCCTAGTTGAGGAGTTATGTTCGACGTGGAGACGCTAACAAAACGTTGTCAATAGCTCTGATACACCCCAGGCCCCAACTCAGCGTTTCCTCAGGCAGTTAAAGTACAATAATAGCACCATACGGATTTCTGCGAAACTCATAGCTAGACGTGGTTTTCTGCAGCTAGTCCTGGATTATAATTCCCGTGTCAGACGCAGTGTAAAAATATTGCTTCCCTGGGAGAGGACAGGGCCCTGTCTGTGGAGTTTGGCCTGTCTGCCAGGGCGATAAAAGTTGACGGAATTGTGGTACTTTCGCCCTGTCGATCTCTGGTACGTGGAATTTCGGCCCACGAAATCACCATGGCTATCCAGCCAGAATTTGCGACTACTAAAAAGCCGGTCCGACTATCAAGCAATCAAGAAGCCAAGCAATTAATAATTGAGAAGTATTCACGCCACCTCATAATGTACATTTTGAACGTCCATTTGGTCTAAGAGCTCTGGATACTCATGTATAAATTCTTCAGTTAACCCCCACCCATCAAGAGACATAAACGTGTTGTAGAATTCTGGCAAAATATGTAGCTCGGCGCCATCACTGGGTGTTAAAAAGTTTTTACCCCAAGGCCAGCGCACCTTGAGGCAGCAGCTTAACATACCCAACACCTCATCAAGATCGTACAGGTGTGGCTTGTATATCAAGTTGATGCGTAATTGACGAAAGACGACGCCGTCTATACATACGGGATGTGCGTGTCTAAGCTGCTCGGGCACCGGTCTAAGAAATTCAGGCAGACGCTCAAACCGAGGCTTGCTAGGTTCCGCCATCCACTTTGCAAAAGCATAAGCAAGCCAGCCGCCGGCCAAACGTTCAGGTTCACGGCACCTCCACAGGCGTGTATTATCATGAATGATATTGGCGAGTTTGTTTGTCCTGGAACCGTACAATAACTCGAGCGGAGATGGAAAATCCGGGGATTCCAGCGCCATTCGCAAATCTCCACCCCAAGGTGAGTGTGTGGGCAAAACGTCCCACATGAAACGACCTTGCGGGGGAGTAAGACTCCATGGAGGGGCAATAGCATCTTGAGATGGTCTGCGAGCGACACTGGGTAAAGCATGTCCAGTCTCGTCCGTTGCAGACTGATAACACGAGCTGGGTGAAAGAGCCTTGGTGGCTCGCGAGGTTGGAAGTCGGCGAGAAATTGTATCCGAAGACTGGGACGTATCATGCGGCGGGCGCTGAACGAGTTCCACATTCATAGAAAGCGAAGAATTGGTATGAGTATTCGGATACAGGACATCTGTCTGCCACGAGCACCTGACAACCCCATCTTGCGGATGCTGTTTAAGCAGCTGTACGTTCTGCTCACCAAGTTGGGAACAGGTACTTTCGAGATCTCGAATGCGAGCCTGATAGCTCATCATCTGTTCTCTGCACGCGCTTAGCTCGCTCTCGAGCATGGAAATATGGGCATTTTTTCTGTGGCGAAAGTTTCTCTGCGCACGGCGATCCCTTGCACGCTTCTTTTCGAGCGACAGGAACGTAGGACTAGGCAATGAGGTCATGATACTCTGCCGTACCGTCAGAGCGTAAGCCTTCAAGGAATAGGTCGACCTGCGGACCCCGAGGGGGGGGCGGCGGAAGGAAGGAAAGGAAATACGTGAAGGAGGCTTTTCTGTGGAGTCAGGTTTTCGAGTGCAGAATTGTGACCGATGTAATTAACTATAGTTACGTTAGTTAGCTTCTGCTAATGATCAACCGAGTCCGTGGCTGAGTGACGCACACTACATTGGAGAAGAATGCGGGGTAGACAGCCTGAGGGTGGGAAATGCGGCATTTGGAACAACTGTCAGCTTATCTGACCAATTGGTATGTGCACACATGGAGAACATTATCGGCGCACAGTTTCCAGATACTTCAGGCTTTTAGACTTTCCTATGCACCGGAGTCCCATGGTATATGGTCTCCGGTATTCGCGCCTAATATTTACGCCTGGGAATATCAGGGTTTGGCACGGACCCCTAATCCCGTGCACCTTTTTTTTGTCAAAGTTGGGCAACCAGGTAGGCCTGATTTAACTACACGCTTACCTCAAGTCTCAGGCTTCGCAGACTCCGGCCAATATCAAGGCATAATTCTGCCGGTTCTCCCACGCTAACCTAGCTGGGTTGCTTCAGTCACATAAAAAGATGCTTTATTAGTACTTAAGAGCAACAGCCATTGGATTGCCAAATCCATGCCCTTTTTCAGAAGGCGGCTAAGAGAACAGAGGCAACTAAATGCTAGTGTACGATTAGTACTATGGGGAAAGTGCACGGATCGGTAGGTCACTACCTCACTAAGTTAGCCAATGGACACGGATATAATAAGAGGATTCCGAATACTCGGGACGGTAGAATCTAGTAGCAACGATCCAGTAGCTCGTACGGCTCGGAAAGGGCTAGCCCTATATAGGCAGACAAGGTAGGGCCATAGTCTTTTATACTACTAAAAGTGTATATAATATTAGATATATAATAGTAGGCCTTCCCGGCTTTCTACTATCCTTAGACTGAACCCACTGATATTATGATACACTGTGCATACTACAGTATAGTAATATATAATGATAGGGAAGCCGCTAGAGTATTCTGATATTCTTGCTTCGTTGACTCATTGCCGTTTGAACAATCCTCAGGTAGTGTAAACTTTAAGTGACCCAGATCTTTCCATGCATTCCTCCGCTGACTCATTGCCGTTCAACGTAAGTTAAGTTAGTCAACTTGAGTAAGTGATTATTTTGACGATGGATGAGCACTAATGCAACATAAAGCACACCAATTAAACTGCCCTAATTCCCGCCTGCGCGAGGGGCGAGGGGATAATCCATGTTGTTTTGAGCACTATGTTATGCTTCGGGGCGATGTCCTCTCCCCGGTTTCATTGCCGAGGTCCTTTGTAGCTAAGTGAGCGGTCTGATCCTATGTAAATAAACGTACGCGCTGAACTCAATTTTTTTTTTGTAAATTGCGCCTCCATAGGAAGTTTGTATTCATTTTGCGCCTTAGTACTAAGCTCTTCCTTTCGTCCGTATACGATACCAATAATGTTTTTATGAATATAAATATGAGATGGAAGTCGTGTCCATTTCTAGTTTCAATTTGAGCACTTCCGGTTGCCTTGAAATATTGTCAGCATGAGATTTATCGCCATTTTTCAAACAGTAGTCGCACTGAGCGCACTCTGTATCGCAGAGCGACATAGCACTTCTGCTGTCAAAAATCTTGGATATGCTACTTATCAAGGATATCATAACTCTACCTCGAAGTAAGAAGAACGGCTTCATTTTGTTCATAGGAGCTTTTGTTGCTAACACATTGTTCGGGCAATTAATAGCATCAATTCGTGGTACGGTATCCGTTATGCGCAGCCTCCAATCGGACCACTTCGTTGGCAACCACCGCAAGATATAGAGGCGGACAACAACTACTCCCCTTCTCGGCCCATCAAGGCAACAGATCACGGTCCGGCATGCATTCAAGGATTTCCGGAATGGATAGCTGAAGCTGATCCGGCCTTGGTTACTGAATATTCCATTCCTGGGAGTGAAGACTGCCTCTTACTGGACGTGCTGGCCCCCGCGCATCCGGTCTCTTCAAGTCTCCCAGTAATGGTCCAAATTCATGGCGGAGGTGCGTGCGAGTAAATAAGCTCTGATTTTTTATTATGAAGTTAACTGTTGGCCAGGGTATACGCTTGGTGACTCGGAAACTGCACCAGGTAATGCATTAGTGTACCAATCTCGTGGCTCCCTGATATACGTGGCGATACAGTATCGCTTGGGAGCATACGGATTTCTTGGTGGACCTGAGGTGGCTGCCGAAGGCGCTCCAAATGTGGGTCTCTTAGATCAACGGGCAGCACTTGCATGGGTGCAACGCCATATCAGCAAGTTTGGCGGCGACCCTGCGAAGGTTACCATAATTGGAGGCAGCGCAGGCGGAGGTTCGGTGATGAATCAAATGATTCTTTATGGGGGTGCCAGCAGTCCGCCGTTCAGGGCAGCTATCGCAGGTTTTTATTATCCTACCCTGCGATCGAGAGGAATTTGCTTACGATTCGGCAGAGTATCCGTGGTGGCAACAACATCACAGCCCTTCTCTACTCGAACAACAGTTTGAACTGCTGCTTAACACTAGTAATTGTGATGATATTCGCTGTCTCCGATCGCTCTCAGAAAAGGATCTTGAAAATGCCTACGTTAAAGCCAACAAACTGGCCTATGGGAAAGGGTATTACGGGTACGGTGACTTCTATTACGGCCCTTATGTTGATGGAACCGTGATCCGTGATCTGCCCTCTGAGGAATTTAAGCAGGGTCATTTCGCAAAAGTACCTCTGCTGGTCAACCGTGAAGGTTATGAAGGTGTCGGTTTTACCAACACATCCGAGACAAACATAGCCGAGGAAGTGGCCGACTTGCAAACACTTTTTCCTAATGCGAAGAAGTCGTTCTATAATCGCCTTTTTGAACTTTATCCAGCTTCGGATTTCAATTCAACTTTCTTCCAGCGCGCTAAGGTATTCGGTGATTTTGTCATTGACTGTCCAACATATTTTATGTCAACGGCTGTTTCCGATTCGGGGAATCCGGTCTATAAATTGGTTTTCGATGCCGGATCAGAACTACATGCCAGCCTCGCGCCATTCCTTGAAACTGTGAATTTGAATGGTATGTAAATGCCGCACAGTCGGATTCTTATATTCCCGTACTAACGAAAGCTTAACAGGAGAATCCAACAATGCTACACTTGGCGATATTTTAAGAAGCTATTACGTTTCATTCGCCAATTGTCTAGATCCAAATGCTGAGTCATTTGCTAAAATTAATCGTCCGTTCTGGCCAACATATCAGAATAGCCAGAACGGTAACTTTTCAGTTCTCAACATTACGTACACTACGATTGGTGTCTCTCAAGATCCAGATGCTTCGCCACGATGTGACTTTTTCTCCAGCCAGAGTTATGTGGTGATGAATTAGGACGAGAAGCATGAAGGGTAAAACTCTGTTCTACTTGTCCAAATACTGTGTACTCTGAAGGGGGAAGGATAAATCATCGAAGTGTGAGACCAGCCCTGTTTGTTTAGTTCCGAAATTACCGATAATTGTTGGAAGTATGAAATAGTCTTTCAATCTTCATTCTTTACTATTATAGCAGTCGCGAAGTTCCCGGTATATTGGATTGTCGTTATATTTCCCAAAATGCTCCCAGACCGTATCAATATACTAAGTCGTAAAAAGTACTCGTATATAGAAAACCCCGAAAACCCCTATGATAAGTGGTTGTTGAAATATACGGTTGTAATTTATCGCATTTCTATGTGTTTTGGGGCGATCGACTCGCTTGTGAATTACGTTCGTTAACTAAAATGTCCAATTAACGGCCACTGAGTCAACGAGAGAACTTTTAGGAACGGAGAGATCCGGTGGACGCTACTTGTTTCGACTACCCGAGAGTCTATCAACGGCAATGAGTCAACGAAGCAAGAACGCCAAAGGCCAAGGTCGCTCTATCTTGCCAGCCCCTCTCTAGCATTCTTTGCTTGAAAGTGCGCTAGCTCTCATTTAGAAACAAGTAGCCCCAGATCCATGGAATGCCACCAGCGTCTGCAGGAAGTGGTTCTACCCCCTCACTTCAGCGAGGCGTTATTTGGTAACACTCTATTATTTGTTAGTCATATTGGCTGAAGCTTCAGCGGTTAGGCTAACTTGGTATCTCCACCTTCGCCGGTAGCAGTAGCAGACTACTTTCAGTATCCCAGCTCTTGTAGTTGGCCCGAAGGGGTTGGGACGACTATGTTTTCCTCCTGAAAGGCAAACATAGTTCCTCAACCAGACATCAATCGATTGTCCTCTCGATTGGACAGTGCCAGTACTAGTCAGTACGCAGAATCCTCTACCTGACAACTTTCCACTTGGTAGTCTGCACATACCATTCGCCCTCATCAAATGCGGGCTCGGTCTAGACAATGGACGACGTCGTCCATTTAAACCCTTCCCCCGCAGTGGGGTGACTCTGCAAATGGTGGGTCACAACTCCTCCACTGCGTTTGGGGATTCTCGCCTCAACGGCAGCGGCCGCCGGGACACGGGGATGCGCTATGACGGCAGGCCCAATAATGTGCCGTGGCTCGTCGTTGCCTGTGAACGCCGGCACGCACCCGCAATTACATCTGCTCCGCTGTCGTGGACAGTAAATTACTGTCCAGCCACTTTCACAGGCGCGGGACCTGAGTTGTCTAGCGGGCACTGACTCAGTAACAATGTCACAGTGTCCCCAATATCCTGCCTCATCACGCCGCATTTTCACAGGCGTCGCCTCTGGTATAAAATATGGCTGTTACTGCTCGCATTTATGGGTTTCGCTCACAACCCGGTTGCTCTAACAAAGACGACATTTGCAATTTGCTCCCTGAACACAAGCATCGGAAGGGATCTCCAGAGCAGCCACCCACATCACCACAACTACCACGACGATGACGGCAATGGCCTCCACCATCGTGCGTCCATCTTTGGACCCTTCCCTTCGCAATGAACAGTCTGACATCGTCATACCGGAAAGGCTAGACATTGCCGAACTGCGCAAAGCTACAATTTCCGCGTACAGCGTCGACACCGTCCTCGACAAATACCTAGACTACAGCCACACAGAGCATGTCGTCCAGTCGCCCAGCGACGATAACGAGAGTGTGCTTCTGTCCGTCTTTCGGCCAAAGAAACCGACCTCCAGCAGACTGCCGTGCTTGTACAGTGTCCACGGCGGTGGCCAGGTCACCGGCAATCGTTTCGCCGCCCTGGACGTGCTCATGGGTTACTTCGATGGTCTGCAAATGATCGTCGTGACTGCTGAGTACCGCCTTGCACCGGAACACAAGGCCCCGGCCGGCGCAGGTGACTGCTACACAGGACTCGTCTGGGCCGTTGAGCATGCTTCTGACCTCGGCATCAATCCGGACAGAGTCCTCGTGTGCGGTGTCTCTGGCGGCGGAGCCGTGGCGGCCGCCACCGTTATGATGGCCCGCGACAAACAGCACCCCAGGGTACACGCGCAGATGCTGCTCACGCCGATGCTCGATGACTGCGGCAGCACCGTGTCTGCCAAGCAGTTTCACACGGGAGTGCCGTGGTGTGGCGTCACCAACCTAGACGCCTGGGACATGGTGCTCGGGAAGAGGCGCGGCAGGCCGGACGTAACGCACCTGGAGGCGCCTGCGCGCGCAATGGACCTATCCAACTTACCAGCCGCTTTCATTGATGTCGGCGAGTGCGAGGTGTTCCGTGACGAAGCTGTCGCCTATGCTTCCAAGATGTGGGAATGTGGCAGTACCGCCGAGCTGCATGTGTGGCCGGGCGCATACCACGGCTTCGACATAGTTGCTCCCGACACTCCTCTCGCCAAAGTGGCCATCGAGACTAAGAAGGCCTGGATTAAGAGAATGATTTCAACTTGACTGGACGAAGGACGACTACTTTTGCCTGCATAGGTTCTGTTGATTTGTCAAAGGTTATGTTGAATTCTGCGTGCCTCTGGAGAGACATATTATAGCACGCTGTAGTATTGTGCAGTGCGCACGAGCGTGGAAGTTGGTTACGCCCGATAGCGAAGCGGCCAATAGGGCCATTATTCGATTATTGTACATGTTCGTTTCCCAAGTTTTGGCAATGTCCCGCAGTAGCCCATACTGCCTCCATTCCAGCTTCGTCTACTCGTTCCCGGTCATCACCATGAGTCCCCGTGGGTTATTGTATTATCGTTTGCCAGGCCATCAATCCCAGTCTTCCGACAGGGGCCAGCCGTCGAAGCTACCGTTTTCCTAGGGTAACTGTAGGCCACCTAGCCCGGCGCGCAATTGTTGTGCTGGTTATCCAGGCGCATACGTGAGCGGAGACTCCTGTCACAGGTTTGCACGCCGTGGAGTTCCCGAGTTGCTAGTTCGTTGTTAGGAAGTGGCATACTCAACTTGTACACACACGGGTATATATAGTGGCTGTAGCCTGCATATCGCTTCCGTTTGCGAGGGGTCAGGGTAAATGAAATCATCCATCCATCCACCCGACTGTAGCTCTCGAGTGATACCCTGAACACAAATATATGGAGCAAAAATCTATTTGACCGCATTTACGGTGCATTATCAAATGTCACTAAGGCCAGTCATGGCGTGCCATCTGAGGGGTCAGTGCGGTCGTCGACAGAGGTGGATTATCCTGAGTGCTCACCTGTTGTGATATGAGACTGGCGGTGATCAGGAACAAAGCCGCAACATCAGAAATAATTCCCGTTTCCCCTCTATACGAAGAATCAAGTTGGTTTCCAATCAACTCAGGGAGCAAGCTGTGAGCACTAAAACGGAACGAGCAAGCCAAGAGTTGCCAGGCATTATCCGGTCTATATGTTTACATTTGGATTTCTGCTGTTTGGGAACTCTTCCTTTCCTGATTTCAATTTCATACTAATACATTCTACCTTTGCTGATGTTTCTAGCTAACAACTAGGTTAGCGAGCGGCGGCCTTTGTAAGCCGCCCTTTCCGGTATTACATATCATCTCATCCGCTTATGGAATCTCGGATCGCGATGACGACGGATTTGTCAGCCCGGTTCACCCGATCTTATACATATAATGACCTATTTAACACCATGAGAAGGGCCGGTTTCTGATCAAAGTGACACGTACCTGTCCGCGGAAGAATCTGGCATCCTCTGATCCGTAATAACAGTCCCTATCCCGCTTGAAATACCCCATCAGCTTCGTTAGAACCGACTATGAGCACTGGAGTAAGTATAAGAAGTTCGAATCGAGAAAAAGTAATTAATCTTTTAGGAACCCAAGATTTACAAAATTGCCGACTCGGACGGCCATTTCCGACGTAAAGAATCGGTCTTTCGGTCCAGCATTTCTCGGAGTGCGTCCGCCGAGTTCCCTGCAGAGAAGGACCGTTACGTGCTGTACATCAACTATGGATGTCCTTGGGCGCATCGAGCCAACCTAGTGCGGACGCTCAAAGGACTTTGTGACATTATCCAGATGGTCGTCCTGGACCCAGAACTTGGACCGGATGGATGGTTCTTCTCTGGTGCCAGGGGTTCTGCCGAGAGAGATCCTCTGTATGGCTTCAAGACTCTGAAAGAACTCTACTTGAAAGCAGATCCGCAGTATGAAGGGCGATATACAGTGCCAACGCTATGGGACAAAAAGAAAGAGACAATAGTCAACAATGAAAGCAGTGAGGTCATCCGCATGTTTTATACCGAGTTTGACGATCTCCTGCCCGAAGCTTTGCGCGAAGTCAACCGTCCCGGAGGTGGTTTTTATCCTGAGCACCTGAGAAAAGAGATTGACGAGATGAATGCCTGGGTGTATCCGCAAATCAACAACGGGGTGTATAAAACCGGCTTTGCTTCTACTCAGGAAGCGTACAAGGAGAACATTTATCCCCTGTTTGAAGCTCTTGACCGCGTTGAGGCGCATCTTGGCCAACCCGAGCATCAACCGTTTCTCTTTGGGGCAAACATCACCGAAGCTGACATTCGGCTCTACACGACCATTGCACGATTCGATGTGGCATACTACCTGATCTTCAAGTGTAACTTGAAGATGATCAGACATGACTACCCGCGCATCGATCGCTGGTATCGCCGGCTCTACTATGACGAATCCGAGAGGACCCGCGGTGCCTTTAAACAGACAACCTTCTTTGATATTGTAAGTTCTGCCTGAGCCTTAGAGTTCAGCAATTAACTGACCACTTCAGTACAAATTTGGATACAGCACAGCTGTTGGGAAAGCGACTGGCAGCGGACAGCTTGTGATTCCGCTTGGTCCTATTCCGGATATATTGCCACCCGAAGAGCACGAGTAGAATTGATATGCGATTTATTGACACTCTATGTATTCAAATACACTTTTACTTGCCCGTTTCCCTTCTCTGATCCAGTACGCATGGAATTCCCAGCCAGAATTGTCTCTGGCGTGTCTAGAAGACCATACCCTTGACCTGGTCAACCTTCTTGACGTTGATGTTCTTGATCAGCAAGGTAAAGCCCAGGCCAAGAGCCATAATTGCCGTGCCAGCAATTAGCATGCGCTTCTGGGTTGCCGCGTAGGCCAACCCAATAACCTCTCGCATCTCAGAGCCCATGGGGTAACTCAACTGCATGGGAAGACTACCAACGATGCTGTCGATCTTGTCTTGGTCTTTTTCTGATAGCATCTTTCTCAGCTCTCCGGGCAGGGTATTGGTCCAGATGGCGCCCGAAATACTGCTACCGACGGAGCCACCAATATAGCCGACAAGACCCAGCAGAGCAAGAACGGCCGCGACATCATTGTGGTCAGAAGCGGCTAAGACGGCAACTTGCTCACCGATAGTAATCACTCCTCCGCCCAAGGCAATAATGACCTGACATAGAATCATGTATCCAATGCCCCAACCGGGATTCCGGAAATAGATCATCAAGCCTTCTCCCAGCATATACAGCGGTACTCCCCATAAGAGAATCCATTTGAAGTGGCCAGTCCAGCGGATTAAGAAACCCACGGCGATAAGTTCCACGCTCGAGACAACATCGAAGATGCTACTGATATACCCAGCCGACTCGATTGAGGTATTGTACACGACCTGTAAGTATGAGGTCAAGTACAGATACCAACAGTAGTAAGCAACCTGGTACGTAAAGTCAAGTAGACAGGCACCCAAGACCGTGCGCGACTTGAGTAGGTACCAAGGAACAAATGGTTTGCGGGCGCCGTATCTCTCCCAAAAGGCAAAGGCAACCAGGAGAACGAACCCAACAACGATCATCGCAATAATGTACGCGCTACTCCAGATGCCCTCTGAGTAACCAGCAAGGGTAAAGGGTAACAAAAAGATGACGAATCCCGCGCAGACAAGGAAAACGCCGATGACTGATGAGTTTTGGTCAGGGTCTGCCAGGCCAGGTGACCATGGAAAAGAGGGAAAAGTATCTTACAGTCAAATTCAATCATGTAATGCCATATACTCTCGTACCAGGTACGATTGCTCCGGGGCCGTGCCATCAGCCCGTTCTTCATTGCCTTTCGCTTGCCGAGCTGCATCACAACAACCATGGGCACCGAGACGGCGGGCACGACAATTGCCCAGGCACCGTACCCCCAGCGCCAATTAAAGCCGTAGATCTTCTCGGCTGCGGCCGGGCCCGCGAACGCGGTGATGATGTAGGTGGACGAGGTAAAGGCGAAAGCAAGCCCCCGGTTTTGCATTGTAGAGGTATCGGAGGTGACGACGTCCACACAGAAGATCATTCCAGTGAAGCCAATCGAGTAAAAGACCTGGGCCGCCGCATACAGCGGGAAACTGTTACAGCTGGCCATGAGGACCATGCCCAGAGTTGCAATCGATATCATCGATATAAAACCCACGGTGCGATCGCACAAATTCAGAACCTTAGCAACAGGCATATATGTGACACCGGAAAGAGTACTCGACACCACATTGATGACCGGCATCAAGGAGTGATCTTCGAAAGCGCTCGACACGTAAGGATTCAGGTTGTTCTCTAGCTGACTTTCGAAGGCATTGCTAAAGTAAAGTAACCACATACTAGGAAAGAACTGTTGTCAGTTCAGTTTTCAGTATGCCTATATGTGATTACTTGCCTAATGTAGACCACGATCAGCGATGTCCTGCTCCACGACATCGTCATGGCCTCCGCGATTCTCACACCATCCTGCGCGGTCTGGTCGGGAAGATCCTCCTGCTGAGGCTGGTGGGACTCGATATAAGGAGTTTCCTCCGCCTGAGGAGCCCCGGATTTTTCGTCGATATGTTCGGCCATGGTGAGCCGGAAGATCCTTCGGTTGAGTAAATATCAATAGTCGGTAGTGGCTTGTTGTCGGCCGAATCCTTGTGTTGGAAGGAATGCGCTCTTCCTCAGTCGAGAAAAACAAGCCGGTTAAACGAATAGAGACGGTCGAATTTAAGGCTTCAAAAAAATGCTAAGGGAGGCATGTAAATAGGTCAGTCGGAATAGACTAAGATAAACACTGATTTTTGATCGCGGAAAAAATTATCAGATGGCCCCCAATGTACCCACAGGGCTAGCAGCACGCTTTCTGATCGGCCGATTTGTTGATCCAACACATGAATGTGTTGGTTTTCCAAGCCCCGATCACGGTGGAACAGACAGCCAAGGGAAAAAAATCTTTCAGTACGACCAACCATTATCCCGAGTCTATTGGGAAGACCCACGACCCTCTACATCGCAAAACGCGGACCGTGTTTGGCGCAGACATGGAAGCGATGCAAATGCTGCCGGTAGCGGGCAGACCGTCAAAAACCAAGGAGGAAAAAGAGGGCCAAGCTGAAATGAAACCATCAAACGGCGACGACGATTCGGCCAAAGCTTCCAGTCTAACAGGGATGCTCTGAAATTGGGCCCACTTACATGTCGGTGATTCCTTGCTTCCTCCGCGCACAGACGATCAGATAAGAACGAAGCTCCGCACCAGCAGGGATAATAATAGGTTTGTACTGCAATACTTGTCTAAAAAGTTCTACAATCCATTTACCGAATTTCCCTATGTTGATATTCTTGAACGCTGTGCGTCTTGACTATAAGCTTGCTTTCTCGCTGAGAATGAGACTGGTAATACAAGAACACAGTTACCAGGGGCTATGCACGGTTACAAAACAAGTATATCCGCCGTTGAGAATGTCTTCGCCTACCAGCTTTACATGAGTTTCAGGCCTACAGTGTACATTGTAAGAACGGGCCAAGCGAAAATAATTAAGAGCAGGGCCAAGGTGCTGTGAGTAACAAAAGTCTCGGACCGAGACGACCTGCTGTTTTTTGTTACATAATGGATCATCGTCATGGATGGACCCTCGCCTGTGGCGGGTAACAGTCTCTTGCTCTCATAGGTCTATGGGAACTCACCACACTGTGGAGCTTGCCAAGTGGGCACCTGGGTAGCGTACAATGCAGCCCACTAAGACTTGACATTTCCAGTTCCATCCATCTGCCTAGCGGCCATGTGGCAGAGATCTGGTAAACTTGCTGAGCTGTTGCTTTGCAGAATTGGCTCAGGATTTTACACTTGGCGTTCCTTTTCAGTTACCTTACCGATAGAAAGAGAGCTAAGCATAATTATGTCCGAGCAGGGCTTGCCGATCTTATATCATTTTAGAAATATCCACGAGCTCAGATCCGGAACCTGCATTTCAAGTCTGACATCCCAGCATTATTATCCTAATGATAATTATATTGGTGCTTAACAATAATGATAACGTCTTGTAATCCTGGCGCAGTCATCATGTGTACATTCTTGCCTTAATTATCCAGAGAAGGGGGCATTCTGGATCCCATAATTCCCAGTTATCAATATCTGAACTGGCAGCAATGTCTAGATACGACCCGTGTAGAGTTTAAGGATGGTCTAAGAGTCAATGCATAATATTCATCGAAGTCGATGAGCAAACATTTATCGATGAAATCTTAAATGCGGAAGTGTGGGGTTCTAAGATGCTTTTGACCAGGATGGGCACTACCTTGAGTTTCATCTTGCGGCAGAGCGAAAGGGCAAAATCTCAGTAGTTGTTTGTATCCAGGGCATCTTTAGCCTGGTTTTTTGCGGCGCTTGCGTGCTGGCCGTGTCTTATCTTTATTATGAATTCTAGCTCATCACTGATTCGTGCATCTAAATGGCGCCGAGTTTGTGATTCGTGGCTACAGACGGGGTGGGAATCCTTTACTGCGAGGAACGTCAACCATGACTAGGACGTGGGAGGTTGATAGAAAGTATGAAGATGCGCTTCCCAACTGCCGAGTCCCTGAGCGTCTCCCGTCGAGTCGGCCCCGCTGGGCTTCGAACCCTCCACTTGGCAATCCTACGCTGTGATGGACAACAGGTTCTGCCTCAATAAAACAAGATGCGGATAATAAGGGCTCCGGCATTTGAATGCCAATCTACATCTCCAGTCTTTAGCTTTCGGTTAATCGGGTTAATCCTTCGGGTCAATGAAATCATTATGGAATGCCGATCGATGCTTCCCCGCAAACTAGACGGCGTGGTCAGATAGATCTGTTGATGCAAGGGCCCATTCTCGGTCCCAAAAGAGGAGCTCAAATACTAGAGGCAATGTTACGGTGCTATTTTTTTCGGGGAATTGTCAGTGTTTGCCGAGCTGAGGTCAAATATTAAACAAGCCACTTGCCTCGGCATTCCAACAACCAAGCTTTCAATTCCTTTGCTTATCGCCTCCCCCTCCCAAAATGCAATGGTTAACACTTTGTGCTCTTATATCTTCGGCTACGGCGTCCTACCCGATGCTGGGCTGGGACGCCTATCGCCGCTTTGACTTCTTCACCCTCCGGCCGGGGGAAATCACCAAGCAATTCTCGTCGTATGATCGCACAAATGGGAATAATGACGGATTCTATGGAACACACTCGTGTCTTTACAATAGTACCGACGGCCGCTGTGTTATTGCTGATGCCAAAGGTCCGGGTGAGATTGCATCGATTTGGTTCACGTACGAAAACGACAGTGTTGTCCCCATCGGCGACATTCGCATCGAGCTAGATTCGCATTTAGTGCTGCAGCATGACCTTCAAAGCCTCGTGAATGGAGACATAGGAGCACCATTCCTCTGGCCATTGGTAGGGAATACTAATGATACCAATGGTGGCAATGTGATCAAGGTGCCCATCCCGTACACAAAGTCAATGATCATCAGCACCCTTCACAATCCCCACTTTTACCACGTTGTGTATCGAGAACTGCCTGCGGATGCAGACGTAAAAATATTCGACCCTGATGACAGCGCATTGGATGCCTTAGATACTTCTCGTCGCTTTGGTGTTGTTGACCCAAAGTGTCGCTCGAGGGTATCTTCATGTCCATATTCGCCGCGACGCACTCGCAGTGAGAGCCACATGTTTACGGTGGATTCAGGTCGTTCCTCTCAAGTGGCTACAATCTCCGGCTCGGGAGTTGTCACTCAGCTGCAGCTACGAGTGCCGGGAATTCTGGGTGCGCCGCATGTGGAAGACGATGGTCGTGCGTATGGGCAAGGGGGGTGGAGTTCAGCAACGTTTAAACTAGACACTCGCAACAAACAGTGTCAACTCACCCGACGTTTAGATAGCACTATTGGCCATCAGCGTGCGGCAGTCAGTGTTGATGGAAAACATGCAGGTGAATGGCCCGACAGCGGACCCAGCAACAATGCAACCTGGGCGGACCAGACCTTGAAGCTGAATCCGGAATTGACGGCGGGCAAGAGAACTATAAGCGTCAAGAATACGTTTACTGCTTCGGACCTTGACTTTAACGAGTTCTTCTATGCTCTGCACTGCAAACTGAATGCCACTTCCAACTGGGAATTGATGGACCTGTTGAATGTTGGACCCAACAATGTGAACGACGAAGCCACACACGAATATAAAATCAGCGGCCAAACTTGGAGTGGTGTAAGGCATTACTTATACGAAGGAGAGCGCCTGGAGCAAGCGACCCGGTCCCTTCGCCTCATCAGCGACATTTACCTAAGACTCACCTTCGATGGCCAGACAACGGTAGATGGCCCCATCGGATCATTCTTTGGGTCGGCGCTGGGAAAGTTCGCCGTGCGATCATTGATGCTGTCCATTGATACCCTGGGCGAGGACGGCGCATTTACATCCTGGTGGCCAATGCCATTTAACAATTCTGTTGCCGTGGAACTCGTTAATCAAGCTGGAGAGCCAGTGCAGGGATCGATTGATCTGAAATGGGCGCCATGGTCTGCTCCGCCCGCACCATGGGGATATTTTGCGACACAGCACCACCACGCAGAGACAAAAACCGGCGTTCTATGGAACTTTCTCAGCGAAACGGGCCGGGGCGTGGCCTATGGAGTAACCCACGCATTCCGGGGTGCCATTCTACCGCCGAACAACACCCTGGAATTCCTCGAGGGTGATCTGAAGGTGTGGACGAACCGTGGAGGTAAGACGGGTCCGTTTGATCAGGCCACTATGCTCGGTACCGGAACCGAGGACTTCTATGAGTCTGGTTGGTACTTTACAGATGCGCAGGACGGGACATATGGTTCGACAGCTGTTCCTTTTGCGATGCCTCTGACCGGGATGGAGGCTCACGAATTTCGGGAGTTGAATTGTATTGGGGAGTGTCTCGAGGCGTCCCGGTTGATGCTGGCCGATTCCATGAATTTCGATGATGGAATCTCATTCAACATAGAGCATGGACCGGTGAACAATAATATCAACGCGAACTACGAGACTACTGCGTTTTATTATCATGCGAGAGACTAGGAATGAAAGGAGCGAGGGCGGCTGGTTTGTATATGCAGGAGGAACTTACAATGGGATCTTGATTTACACCCATAAATGAAATCTCTTGAGTCCATCGTACCTATTCTTTCTGTAATAATAATTATTCTTATCCCCTGCACTTCTTGCTTCCAAAGTGGATTCGACAGCACTTGCTCAGGCGAGGGCGGTGGCTGGTCCACTTACGTTATCTGATTGTAGTTATCTGATCTCTACATTCTACCAACCATCAAAATGACGATCAAATTTCTCTCCTCTCTTGCCAAAGGCCAGCCTGGTATTCTCCATCATTGTGTAAGCCTGTCCAATAAACGCGCCCGCAACCACTGCTAATTCGACTTTCCGCACAGACCCCGGATTTGGTTGCCTTCGAGTATACCCGCGGGGCAACCCGCAAGCCACACACCCTCCTCTTCATTGGCGGACTCGGGGACGGACTAGGCTCAGTCGAATACATCAGCGATCTAGTACAAGCGCTGGATTCATCAGAATGGACCGTGTTCGTGATAGTGCTCTCATCATACTACGGGGGATGGGGCATGGGCCGACTGGGCAAGGACATCGACGAAATTGCGCAGTGCGTGCAGTACATCCACGACTACAAGACACCGCAATTCGGCAAAGGGAAAGTGGTGGTGATGGGCCACTCGACAGGAAGCCAGGACGTGATGCAATACATTTCCAGCGCGAACCCGCGTCCGAGACATCCGGTGTTCGATCGGGACTGGGACCCGATCATACGGCCGGATATTGACGGTGCGATCATGCAGGCACCCGTATCGGATCGTGAGGCGATTCTTTGGGTGCTGCATTGCGGCACAGAACGCGATAGCCCCGAGACAATGCGCAAGATCTACGACAAGGCGGTTGAGGACGCCCGCAATGCAACCTACGAAGACCACGACTCGGTCGACACTATTGTGCCAGTCTCGGTGACCGCACGAATTGGCTATCCACCCACAGCCGCGGTCAGCAGTCGCCGATTTCTCAGTCTGGCGAGTCCCGACAGTCCCGAGAAACCGGAAGAGGACGACCTTTTCAGTTCGGATCTCGGTGATGAGCAACTGGTGCGGACATTTGGAGCGGTCGGGTCTCGGGGCCTCTTGAAACAGAAGCTCATGGTGCTGTACTCGGGCCGCGACCAGTCGGTGCCGCCGTGGGTGGACAAGGAGGCCCTGCTGCACCGCTGGCAGGCAGCGATTGATGCCGGGAAGCAGCAATTCTGGAGTCCGCATAGTATGATCATTCCCGGCGCCTCGCATGCGCTGAGTGACCCCGACCAGGCGGAGCCACGGCGAATCTTGGTAGAGAGGGTGACTAGGTTTTTGAATGACATCCAGCAGGATTAGATAAACTATTAATGCCGATAACCTCGTGCGGTCCTGCTCTTTCATTACCGCCTCATACACCCCAGTTACTACTTCAACGGTCTCCCAGTTCACAATGCTAACGGGCACTAAACGACGACTGGTACTTCGGCGACCGTTACAGCCACCACGGGAAGTTCCACCGGCTCAAATTCCTGCCTTGACTTCCAATGCAGCGGTTTCGACCAGGCCTGGGGGTGGGATAGCGGGAGCGCTTGCAGCTGGACTGCTCACACTATTTGGTGGGTAATGTAACTTTTTGAAGACAATATCGAATTAAATGGCTCGAGGATACAACTGAATGAGAGCTTGTGTCCACGTACTTTTGTACGAGTGGGCCCTAGTGCGCTGCTCCCTGGCCATAACTTAGTGGCTTGAGATGATGTGATGTGATGCTGCTTCACGGAATTGACTTTACTCTGCACGATGAGACACCTACGTAAAAAAGACGGTCCAAAGTACAACTTTGGCAAGCTATGCCCGAAACTTTCGAAGACAACAGGTCGGCACAATAGTAATAACCCTCGTGGGAGTTGACTAGTCAAACCGTAAGTCCGCGTTAGTCAGAATTGGCTCGTAATAAGTAATGATTGTTGATAACATTACTCGATATCATGGCCTCACCGCAAAAATCGGGCACAAGGCTGCTCGCGCAGTTCGTAGAGCTGATAGTCGCCCGTTGCCCGACTAGTTATACCGGGCACCACTCCACTGGGATCGTCGTCCCTGCCGATCCTTGACGTTACTTGTGAAGGGGGAGTCCTTTCTCTTTCAGATAGGGGCGAAATAATGAGAGCAGCAAGTATTTCTAGCACCAGTCAAACCCCGGGGAACAGTGACAGTTAATAAGGACGGGCCAGACCGGACTATTGGTTGCGGGCCGGTGGACGGCGCGACGACGTCTCCATTAACGGTCCTAGACGGGAGGATCCGTCGCGAACTCCGGCCCATAAGCGTGTGTAATATCAGTACATGCATGTTATGTACTGTTAGAAGTTGGGGCCGGATCGCATGCTCGTCCCTGCACTGCATTCCTCAAGGGCGGCGCCTCGGGCCTTGCCGCAGCCTTAGTTACTAGTTACGTACCCTTGTACGACATGAAACCACAGCGAGAGAAGGGGATATGAACGCATACACACGGCGCCTTTTTTTTTTTTTTTTTTTTTTTTTTTTTTTTTTTTTTTTTGAGGCGGGATGGGATGCCCGAAGGATGGCTTACGCCCCAGCCAAGTATTGTCCACGTCGGCGCCATCCGGGTTACCTACGTGCGTATAAATGTGCCCCCTGGAAAACGGAGCACGGAGAGCGGGTATCATCCGGAAGCATTGTTGGCTAGATCATTTGTACTACATGACTAGTTACGGAGTAGAACTTCACTTTCCCCATAAGCCCGCTAGTCCAGCTCGCGGCGGCCCGCGCCCAGGGGGCCGGGAGAGAAGGAATGCAGCACTGGGACTGAAAGGCATTGGACCACACGGTCACAAGGATAAACAAGGGACCCGCAAGACTCGTAGTGACGGAACCGCACGAGATGATACCTCAGCCCAACACGAGGCAGTTAGTTCCCCACCCCTGCTCGACCGTCACAGGCAGGCCTCCGGACGATCTATCATCGGGAAGTCGCGTGCGGTTCCGCGGTGCTCAGATAAATGCCAGACGGCGCAAATGGTCGGTCGGTATTCTGGTGCCAAAAGCAGAATCCCTCCATTCGAAACACGCAAGGTTTATAGATTGGGGCTCCATCCGCGTGCATGCGAAGGATAATTTACCATGCATAGCGCATCCCAGCGCCATGGTGCCCGAATAACGGCAGTGTCAGGGGTTTTATTGTCTGAATGCAGATAAAACCACGCGATGGTGGAGCCCGACTGGGATAGCCGGGGGCGCCACCATCAGAGACAGCTTTTTCCACGTGTGAAAAATGAAACGCAGCCCGGTGTTTTGGCCCAGGCGCCAAAAGCCGAACTCGCTTAACAGAGGAAGGTGGGTTCGCTGGGTTTGGCGTCTGTGCCGTCGGATCCGTCAGTCTTTTGAAGCTTTCTATCTTTTCAGACAGGTCTCCACCCAGGGGGTAGGCAGCTTCGTAGCTTCCGGTCGCGGTTTAAAGTCGGGAAGTGGCCTCTGGGCTGGGCCCGGAAGGAACCCACTGTGCCCTGTGCGCCGAGGGTCGGGCCATAGCAAAGGCAGACAGACAGTACGTAGTGGAACTGATACCGTCAGTGATGAGTGGCTGTCTGCCAGTTGTGGAGCCGACCAAGAAAAATAAGAGCCCACCAGAAATCAACGGCAGGCAACTCTGCAGTCCTGTTGCTGGCCTGATCAACTGCTGGACGGGCCAATCGTTCTGTAGTCGTTGACGGGCGTTTGCCCTGGGCGGGGTGCCCTTGACCAGTGGTGTAGCCGTGGGTGTGTGGGTGTGTGTGAGAGAGAGAGGGGGGGAGAGAGAGCAGAGAGGCTAATTCTGTCCCTCGTCTCCCGAGACATCTCAGTGCATGTCCTCCCTCTAGAGATAATTAATACCGATACCTCCTTCTAATCACACTCTAATACTCTCCTGGTACTCTACTAGCACGCCTCCCATCCTCACCTTCAAAGAATAATACTCTCAGTAACCCCTCTCTAAACCTCGCTCTCCACTTCGTTCCAGCCCCGTACCAGACTCTGCTAGTACCCTCCCCTCTTCCTCTCTCTTCCCTTCCTTCCTCTCTTCCTCCTCTCTCTCTCTCTCTCTCTTCCCTCTTTTCCTCCCTCCCACCCCCTATACTCTCATCCCATCGTCCCCCGGCTGTCATTGTTGGTGCTGCTTCACTGTCGCCCACACAATTGCGGTGGTCCTGGAGCTTCCGCCTTTTTTTGCGTTCCCCCCGCCTAAATCCCTTTCCCCCTCCCTCCGACACTTTCGCTCCCATCCCCGTGCTAAATTAAACCCGAGGTATGCAAGGCATCCCTGCCTTCTTTTTTTTCTCTATCATCTGCGCATCGCTCACCATCTTGACCAGAACTTCTCCCCGAATCTTCCTTCGCTCTCCCCTCCCGAGAGCTTCGCCGCCATGTCCGGAAAAATGACGTTGTACAAGCTGGTGGTGCTGGGCGATGGAGGCGTAGGGAAAACAGCCCTTACCATCCAGGTTGGTTGCCTTTCTACCGGTCGGATCGCGCGGATTTTAACTCCCGTCTAGCTCTGTTTGAACCACTTTGTCGAGACATACGACCCAACCATCGAGGACTCGTACCGCAAACAAGTTGTGATTGACCAACAGTCGTGTATGCTCGAGGTGCTGGACACGGCGGGCCAGGAGGAATACACCGCGCTGCGCGACCAGTGGATCCGGGACGGCGAAGGGTTCGTACTGGTGTACAGCATCACTTCGCGGGCATCATTCTCGCGCATTACCAAATTCTACAACCAGATCAAGATGGTCAAGGAGTCGGCCGGCTCCGGCTCGCCGAATGCACCTAGCTACTTGGCCTCTTCCATGCACGCCTCCACGGGTCCGCCACTGCCCGTGCCCGTCATGCTTGTCGGGAACAAGAGTGACAAGGCGGTCGAGCGTGCCGTCTCCGCCCAAGAAGGCCAAGCGCTGGCCAAGGAGCTCGGCTGCGAGTTTGTCGAAGCCTCCGCAAAGAACTGCATCAATGTCGAAAAGGCTTTCTATGATGTGGTCCGCATGCTCCGGCAGCAGCGCCAGCAGTCGATCACCGGTCGCGGGCCAAATCACCGGTCAACGGGCTTCTCTGGCCACCGGGGTGACCGCGATACCGGGTCTGACCGTCCGCCGTTCCGGACAGACAAGCGACATCGTGGTGGCATCCGCTGTGTTCTCCTGTGATCGGTCGATGAAAGGGGCGGGCTGTCTGAATTTTTTTTTATTATTATATATTACTGCTGATTTTGGTCTCGGGTGCATCTGGAGGGTGATTCTGTCTTTTGGTTACAACCACGTTTATGGCGTCCAGTGGTTCGAGGCAGCTTCCTTCTGTTCCACTCGTGTCTTTGCCGGGGAGTTTTTTCTTCTTCCTTTTTCTCATTTTCATTTTCTGGCAAAACGATTTCTCTGGTGTGGCAGACTGGGTTTCGGACGACTGCTGGCTTGGGCCAAGCTCCCCCCGCTCTGGGGCCATTGGCTCCTCGATACCAATGGGTTGGAATCCTTGCGTCCAGTGATCAGCACGACCTGCGGGAACACGCCCGCCACAAAACAAACCCACCCCAAAAAGAAGAAGATCCGAAGCCAGAAGTTCGCAGTCGCGCATTAGCAGGCATTTCGATATGATACCCTACGACTGAGCTTGTGTTTATATTTTTTTCTTCTTATGACGTTCCTATTTTCCTCGCCATTTCTGTGATCTATATAGACAGTTCAAATCCATACAGTGACATCAGATGGTACCTGGGAATGTAGGGGCAGCCCCATAGTCAGCGAAGTACCTCTCGGTCCGCCAAGTGCGGGGAATTCCCCAAAACTTCCCTTCCTCCGGCGTTTATACTCGAGTCAGGGTCCCCATTCCTTCCCAACTCCACCAACCAACCATGTCGCCACATCATCATCGTAATCATCCCCAGGAAGCTGCACTCGATCGCTCCCTCCGTGATCCAGAGTCTTTCTGGTCCGCCCATGCAGCTAGGCTCCACTGGCATCGACCGCCCTCGCGGGCTCTGTCCCGACAAACCAAGTCCCTGCCCAGCGGGATCCAGCATGAGCACTGGTCCTGGTTCCCCGATGGCGAGATCTCCACAACCTATAACTGCGTCGACCGACACGTCCACAACGGGCATGGCGACCAGGTGGCCATCATCTGGGAGTCGCCCGTGACGCGCACCACCCAGAAATTCACATATACACAACTACTCGATGAGGTGGAGGTGCTGGCGGGTGTGTTGCGGGAGGAGGGTGTGCGCAAGGGCGATGTCGTGATTATTTACAGTATGCTCCCCAGCTTCTGATCTGACCCCTAAAAGCATGGCTGACCCCCCGCAGTGCCCATGATACCTGCGGCACTCATCGCCGCGCTGGCAATTGTGCGCCTGGGTGCTATCCACGCAGCCGTCTTCGGCGGCTTCGCGGCGCAGTCCCTCGCGCAGCGCATCGAGGCAGCTCGGCCACGGGCCATCATGACTGCCTCATGCGGGATCGAAGGTGCCAAGGGACCCATGTCCTACCGTCCCTTGGTCGAGGGTGCTGTTAAGATGAGCAGCTTCAAACCGAGCAAAGTAATTATATGGCAGCGGGATCAGCTGCGCTGGAACAATCCAGACAAACTGGGTGGCCAGCGCAACTGGCAGCGGTTGGTCAAGAGTGCGCGCATGCGCGGTGTTCGAGCTGCCCCGGTGCCGGTGAAGAGTACGGATGCTCTATATATCATCTATACCAGCGGTGAGTGTTTGTCCTTCGGACTGGCCGCCATCGAGGTACTGATCGGTTGTAGGTACAACGGGGCTTCCAAAGGGCGTTCTTCGAGAGGCAGGAGGTCACGCAGTCGGACTGGAGCTGTCGATCCGGTCCGTCTTTGGTATCAAGGGCCCTGGAGATGTGATGTTCTGCGCATCTGATATTGGCTGGGTTGTGGGCCACTCGTACATCTTATATGCCCCACTCCTAGTCGGCGCCACGACTGTGCTCTTCGAGGGAAAGCCGGTAGGAACACCCGATGCAGCAACCTTCTGGCGAATCATCGAGAAGCACAAGGTCAATACAATGTTCACAGCTCCCACTGCCATGCGGGCTATCCGCAAAGACGACCCCAACAACCGCCTCGTCGACGAGATCGGCCGGCGTGGGGGACTAAAGTCGCTGCAGGCGCTGTTTTTGGCTGGCGAACGCAGTGAGCCCAGCATTGTGAGTGCGTATCAGGATCTGCTAGGAAAGTACGCTGCACAGGACGCTTTGGTGATTGATAATTGGTGGTCCTCGGAGTCTGGTTCCCCCATCACCAGCCTGGCACTGAATGGGTCGCTAGCCGTCTCAGAGAAACTCCCTCCGGGAGCAGATCATCCGCTAGCCATTCGGCCAGGGTCCGCGGGGATGCCATGTCCTGGCTTTGACGTGCGAATCGTCGACGATGAAGGCAAAGAAGTCCCGCCCGGTACGATGGGCAATATCGTGTTGGCGCCACCGCTGGCCCCGACTGCCTTCACGTCTTTGTTTAAGGACGATGAGCGATTCTATCACGGATATTTCAAGCGGTTTAATGGGCGATGGATAGACACGGGCGACGCGGGAATGGTGGATAAGGATGGATATGTGCACATCATGTCTCGATCGGACGACATTATCAATGTCGCAGCCCATCGATTTAGCACAGGTAATGTCTCATTCTTTCCGCTTGGTGATACAGGAATTGACAATCCACAGGATCAATCGAACAAGCCATCCTCTCGCACCCTGGCGTGAGCGAAGCCAGCGTCGTCGGAATCCCCGACTCGCTCAAGGGGCATCTACCTTTTGCCTTTGTCCAGCCACGAGCCGACAGCACGAGTCAAGGACTGCAGGCAACACCGTCGTTAGAACTGTTCAACGAAGTCAATGGGCTAGTCCGTGAGCAGATTGGAGCCATTGCGTCTTTAGGAGGAATGATTCAGGGTCGTGGGATGATCCCCAAGACGCGCAGTGGGAAGACGCTGCGGCGCGTATTGCGCGAGTTGGTTGAGCAGGCGGTGCAAGGAGAGTATGATGCCCCTGTGAATGTGCCACCGACGGTGGAGGATGCAGAGGTTGTGGAGGTTGCGCGTGCGAGAGTGAGAGAGTACTTCGAGGCGAAAAAGAAAGCCGGTGAGAAGGCGAAGCTTTGATGTGTATAATTAGCCCGACTGTTTATACTTGTCACACTTGTTTCCGATTGGAGTTGCACGAGGATCCTTGCACGAGGGATATGACAAGCGTAAGGACGTGCGTTGAGCCTACATGCAGATTCCACATACCTGCCTAGCGTCTTTACCAAGGTGATATACGCAAGTCTCATGCCCAGATATTATAATGTCGAGGAATCAGAACTACTGGAAGGAGGCAAGAAAACTAAATCATCCAAGAAGTTCGAAAGACCAAAGAAACGTTATGTCCAGGAGAATCTTGCGCAGCAGAAACAAAACACGACTGAGAAAACCAGAGTGAATAGAGGAAGACATGAGAAGAAAAAAAAAAGGTGGTAGTAGCAGACACACGTAAAACCATGTCCTCCAAGAGAAAAAACAAGAAAGGGTAGATGGGGTACAATTATGTATTATCTAGAATAAAAAATCATAGACAAGACATGAGGGACACCCAGAAGAGCATGACCAAAACAGGACCAGGGGCGCCGAGTCATGCCAGCAGGACGCAGAGCGTCCCACAGGACAGCATCAAGCTCCTAACGACTCACATCTCAAGCTTAAAGCAGGAGAGCAGCAGCACCGAAGACGGCAGCCAGGCCGGCACCGGCACCAGTGGCGCGCGAGGCGGCGTTGTAGGGGGTCTGGGTCGGGGCGGGACCCGAGCCAGGGGTGGTCGCACCGGCGCTGCTGGGGACCAGGGGAGTCGAGGCCGGGGGCACAGCGGGGGCGGTGGAGGTGCACTTGCTGCACTCGGTGATGGTCTGGGTGATCATAGGACGAGTGACAGTGTAAGGACCGTGCGACATGGTGATATGACCGGGCTAGAAAAGGGCCGTTAGCAGGGGCATCATGACTTGGATGACCCAAACAAAAGACATACAGTCGACACGGAGTAGGTGTGGCTGCCGTGCACAATGGAGGTGGCCTCCGGGCAGTAGGTGGTGTACTGGGTGACGACCTCGGTGGTGTACTCAGTAGCAGCAACACCCATGGCCAGGGTAGCAAGAGCGGCGATCGAGAAGCGCATTTTGGCTGTTGTGTGGGAAAGTAAAGTAATTTAAAGAATAAAAAGAAGCAGATAGATGCTGTGTATACTCGAAAGAGTGCTCGATAGAGTTGATAAAGAATGTACTCGGTTGAAGAACCGGGGAATGTGGAATGTGTCAAGAGTGAGAGACTGTGATGGAGAGGGAGGAAAGGGGTTGGGGGGAAAACGCTGTTTATAGGGGCGGTTGTCAGGCACGGGCCAATCGCGCAAAAGGGGCCCTGTGGAAATAGTAGGGCTAGGAGGGGGGCCGCGCAGGTACTTCATCCAGTAGGGGATCCATTATAGGAACAAAGTACCCCTAGCCCGTGGCCGTGGTCCGAACACGCCCTCAGGAACCGGCGGTGCGCTAGGCGGATCCTTACCCGCTTGGGGCTTGGGGCTTCATGGTTGTTTCTGGTGATTTCTTGTCCAATCTGGCTGGAAAGGGCCTAATGGCATTGGAAATGCTCTTCTCGGTCTCTGTTCCAACTAATTCGGTCTCTAAATTTTTGTTTATTAGGGTCTCCCACCCATCGAGCGGACAAACCTGTTCGCTCGACCCAAAGTCTAGACTGGAGCGAATGAATGCGATCGGCACAGCTTTGATTACACGGCCATGGGGCTCGGCTCATCACGTGTGGCGAGAGGAACCTTGCGTGCGTCGAAGAGGGAAGAGATGCGAGAAGAGAAGAAGACTAATAATAATTGGTGATCGACTCAATAATGACAGACTATCTATATGCAGTGGAGAGAATAGAAGGTAGGATGTAGACTGGCACCCTCGCTGCCCGCGAGGGATGTTGTCTCATGGCAACCCAATTATCGATCCGACCCGAGAAATACAATAATAATGTCATCACAAACGATAGTTGCAGGTAGCTAGAGTCTTCTCTCATACCCTCACTGTCCCAGCATCACCCTTATAGTACATACATAGTGGATAGACCCTCGAAGTCGCCATCACTCCCGACCATGGCTCGTCCACAAGCGCACACACACACACACACACCACTCCAATCCGATAGTCACTGGTCCCTCATGGATGGTTATGGGGCGCGGGACCTATCAGCAGTGCCCGTCCAGGTTGCTCAGAGAGCTCCCCGACGAGTGCTGACACAGATAGAACGCCATCTCTTCATCTTGGATTTAGTTGTGTGATGAAGAGAAGAAGTAAAGAGAGCCAGACAGGGAGAAAAGTCTGCCCGGCAACCGAGCACGGGCCAATTCCATTCCCGGTCTAGCGCGGCAGTCAGCTTTCCGCGGGCAACGGGCAAGTTACTCTCCAATTGTCCGATTGCCTACACTATAAGACCCATGCTTTCCTATCCTCCGGACCACGCAATATCGTGTCCTTTCTCACATCATGTCTCTGTCGCGCTGTAGCAGGCACGCCATGCGCTGCCTTCCCCTAGCCAGCGCCAGACCTCTCGCCCTAACCCGTCCCGCATCTTTGTCCGCCCGATGGACCCCTCAGTCGCGCGGAGTGTCGTCCAGTCGCGATGGACAGCAAAAGGTATGCGTGGAGTCAACCGGAGAAAGGCAGTGAAGCTGCACTAGAGCTCTTCCAAGTCGGACAAGCCCTGCTGACACTCCCTAGCTGCTCTCCGCATCCCTCGAAGAGTCCGACCCCACCGTGTATAATATCCTGCAGAAGGTGAGTCCCGGAAAGTGACGCACGAGGGAGATCGACGACTCTAACAATGTCTCTCAGGAAAAAAACCGCCAGAAGCACTTCATCAACTTGATCCCGTCAGAGAACTTCACCTCGCAGGCCGTCCTCGATGCTCTCGGCAGTGTCATGCAGAGTAGGCCTCCCACCGCATGCGATCCAATCGCCCAATTGCTAATTGCGGCGCAGATAAATACTCCGAGGGCTATCCCGGTGCTCGGTACTATGGCGGAAACGAACACATCGACGAGTCCGAGCGATTGTGCCAGCAGCGTGCGCTGGAGACTTTCCGTCTCAACCCGGAGGAGTGGGGAGTGAACGTCCAGCGTACGTACCTTGTTCTTCCTCTATGAAAAATAGAAGCTAACTAAGCATGTCACAGCCCTGTCTGGCTCGCCCGCCAACCTCATGGCCTACTCCGCCCTGCTCAACACGCACGACCGTCTCATGGGTCTGGACCTGCCTCACGGCGGCCACCTGTCGCACGGCTACCAAACCCCGACCAAGAAGATCTCCGCCATCTCCAAGTACTTCGAAACCCTGCCCTACCGGTTGGATGAGTCGACGGGGCTGATTGACTACGATGCCCTGGAGAAGATGGCCAACCTATACCGGCCCAAGCTGATTGTCGCCGGTACCTCGGCCTACAGCCGGCTGATCGACTACCCGCGCATGCGCGCTATCGCCGACTCCGTCAACGCCTACCTGCTGGCGGACATGGCGCACATCTCGGGCCTCGTCGCCGCGGATGTTCTTCCCTCGCCATTCCCGTACTCGGATGTGGTGACGACCACAACGCACAAGTCCCTGCGCGGACCCCGCGGTGCCATGATCTTCTATCGCAAGGGCGTTCGCCGCACCGACAAGAAGGGCAACCAGGAGATGTACGATCTGGAGAACCCGATCAACAACTCCGTGTTCCCCGGACACCAGGGTGGTCCGCACAACCACACCATCACCGCGCTCTCCGTGGCGCTCAAGCAGGCCCAGAGCACCGAGTTCCAAACCTACCAGAAGACCGTGCTTGCCAACGCTACCGCTCTCTCCGACCGCCTAGGCAACTCCTCCAGCAACGGCGGACTAGGCTACAACATCGTCTCCGGCGGCACAGACAACCACCTCGTCCTAGTGGACCTCAAGAACCGCGGCGTCGACGGCGCGCGCGTTGAGCGCGTCCTCGAGCTGTGCGGCGTCGCCTCCAACAAGAACACCGTGCCAGGCGACAAGTCCGCGCTCAAGCCCGGCGGCCTACGCCTGGGCACCCCCGCCATGACCTCGCGCGGCTTCCAGCCCGAGGACTTCCGCCGCGTGGCGGATATCGTGGATCGGGCGGTCACGATCACTCAGAAGCTGGATAAGGCGGCCCGCGAACAGGCGCAGTCCCGTGGTGTCAAGAACCCTGGTACCCTGAAGGCGTTTGCTGAGTACCTCGGTGAGGGCGAGGAGATCTCGGAGATTGTGTTGCTGAGACAGGAGGTCGAGGATTGGGTTGGTACCTTCGCTCTGCCGTGGGCTAAGGACTAGTGGTAGATTTCTCTTTGGTTAAGATGTACATTTTTTCTTGCACGATTCCGATACGAAATATGATTTAAAATAGGACTTTAGTCGAAGGAGTATGCATTAGTAAGGCTTCATACCCGCCAATTTCAGCATCTGATCAGTATGCTCGGCCTCTTCCAGAGGCTTCGCTCGATTCCGAGGATCAACAGTCCCATCCGGCAGATACACCAGCAGGTCCCGGAGAACAACATTATCATGAGCCCAATGCGTAGTGGCCCCGTACGAGCGGAAAGCCGTCTGTTTTGCCTCCAAAGTCTCCTTCGACGCCATGCTTGCAGGCGAGTACGAGGCATAGATGACCGTGCGGATAGTATCACTCTGCGCCGTCGGTTCTCCTCCCCAGTGGACAGTTCGTGAATCCCAGAGAATCAAATCCCCTGGATCGGCAAGCACTTTGATGGGTTCCATTCCCTTGTCCTTGAACCAATCCATTTCTGTCTCGCTGATGGACCGGAAATCATTCTTCAGCCAAGTCGACGGATCAGTCTGCTCGTCGAAGAACTTCTCCGTCACGGTGTTGGACCTCGGCAGAAGGATCAAGGATCCATCCTCCGGGCCTGCGGGACTGAGATTGATAATTCCCTGGACACAGTGCAGACCGCGGCGCAGCGGCGACTGGTCCACATGCGGCCAGGGCTTGTTCGGTGGTTTATCCTGTCTGTTTGGAAGAGTGATGTTTAATGCATCAAACGAAACCAGCAGCTCATCGGTGCCTCAGATTTTGGCGAATGCCTCAATGACCTTGGGTTCTTGCCGGGCTTCCCACATGAACTTTTCGTGCGTGACGGAGTAATGCTTGAATAGATTGAACTTGTGCGTGGCGGGGAGATTCTCTTCGCGCCAGGTGGATGGATCGTTTAGATCTAGGGACGGGCTGAAGGACTTTAGCCAGTCGAGTGCCTTTTGTTGATACTGTTGAGCCCTTTCTTGTGGGATGGCGTTTTTGATCACCACATATCCTTGGGAAGCGAGGTCGTCCCGCCAGTCGCCGTAAGGGCCGGTGAGTCTGATCTCGAGTTCTTAGCGGGGAGTTAAGGAATGAACGGTGAGAACGTGCCTGATTGAGCTGTTGTTGAGCTCGATGGTGGAAGACACAGAGGAAGAAGCCATGATTGATTTGTTTGGCTACAGCTATGGTTTTAAAGTGAGGACAGATCAAGGTGGAGAGGGGGAGTTATGTAGCTGTATTTATGTTTGCTCGATAAGACTAGTCTAGCTAAGTAACCGTCAAGTGACATTGCACCACATGGACATTGGGGTGTGGAACCATTAGCCGGTTAGAACCAGCATCCTCCAGTTGCAGCAATGACTCGCAGTGGTATTCGGCGGATCGGTGGGAGAAGACACCCCCGCAGAGTTGGGGCGATGATCCAAACGGGGAATGGTGGCGGATGTGCGGCCCAGGGGATGACGTTGAGGATGGGGCATTAATAATAATACAAAGACTCTTTTGCGATTATGATTCCGTCTGACGAGGAAGATCTGTCAAAACAGCACAAAACAGTGGTCTGAAAATATCCAATTCCTGTCCCGCATCGCATACCTCGCTGTGTACTCCGATCGCTTATCGATAAGCGTGGCTGGTAGAGCGGATCGAAGGCCGCAGTCCCGGAGGCATTTGAACAAGCCCCGGTCAACAATAGAGGCATAAATAAATAAACAGAGGGATTGGCCAATTCCTGCATCTGTCAGCGAGAATCATTGGTGGTGCTGCTGAAATACTATCCCATCCACTCGCCATGAACGTCAGCCAGGTAGGGCAATCCCAGCGAAACAGCAGATGGACCAGCTGACACTCTCACCTCTCCCCAAGCTCTACGTCTACCCTATCAAGTCCCTGCGACCAACTTCCCTGTCGGAGGCCATTCTCACGCCACGGGGACTTCCCTATGACCGCTGCTTCATGCTGCTGAAAGTCGAGGCCGGCGAGAATGGATCCCCGCCGACCCTCAAGAACATGCACATCCCGCATTTCCCCGAAATGTCTCTGTTCCACACGGATATCGAGTTCCCCAAGACAGACCATGATTGCGGGAAAGTCATTGTTACGCACCGCTTGCCGGGATCTAGAAAATCCCAGAAACTGGAGGTCCCCCTGCAGCCCGATGTGGGGAGCCTCAAGCCCCTGCAGATCGTCATGCATCGCAGCCCTACTATGGGGTATGACATGGGCGCGCAGTATAATGAGTGGTTTAGTGAGCGCTTTGGATATTCCGTCAAGCTGGCTTATTTGGGCTCCCATTCCCGAGAAGTGCTAGGGACTCTGGCGCCGGGAAAGCGCAAGAAAAGTCTCACTCTTCTGGGGCGGACATTGATGCCAACCGAGGGAATTGGAAAGTGGTTGAATCTGATTCTAGCTACAGCAGTAGCAGTCAAAGCCATCTGCATGATCCAGGGGTCTGTCCAGGAAAAGCCGCTACCAGTGAGTGCTGCCTTCCTCGTTGCGGCGTTGGCTCCGGTTGTCGTCGCAGTTTACTACGTGCTCTCTGCTCGCGCGTCTGAAGACCGCATTACCTTTGCTGACTGTGCTCCGTACCTTCTCATCTCCGAGACGTCGGTGTCGAATGTCTCGGCGCGGCTTCCAGAGGGAGAGGAGATGGATCGCACCAAGTTCCGGCCCAACATCGTTGTGTCCGGCGCGGAGAATGCGTTCGAGGAAGAATTCTGGTCTGCACTGACCGTGGGACCAGAACGTACCCGTCTGTTTTTGACGGGGAACTGTGTGCGATGCCAGAGTCTGAATGTGGATTTCACGACGGGCAAGATAGGCACGGGGGAGTCGGGCAACGTGCTCAAGAAACTGATGAAGGACCGGCGGGTAGACCGCGGTGCCAAGTACAGTCCAGTCTTTGGCCGTTATTCTTTCCTTGATCCTGCCGGCGCAGGCACGCGGATCTGCGTTGGAGATGAAGTGGTCGTGTCGCAGACGAGCGAAGAGAGGACCGTTCTCGGTAAGTATGACTCCAATGGCTCTGACTTTTTGACTGACGAATGTGCTAGACTGGCCTGGACTGACCAACTGAATGTAAACAAATCAAGATATTCATCCATAGTTACTCCTGTAGTAGTTGCATACTCCCACTGTGATGACGTAACAACACTGCCACTGCACCGCCATACCCATCACCTGATCCATGGAACCAACTGCCGTGGATTTCCAAGGTTTCAAATCTACTGGTTGTTATTGTTGTGCCTGCTACAGAGTATTACCCTCACTTCTCTCTGCTTTCTCCATTCGGCCTGACAGACGATCGTTGCTGCTCAGCCCTGTCAGATTATTCGCCTTCCATCCATACGCCGCTGCCTGGAGTCAACCCCCACACTATTATATCGTTCTCGTTTTCTCTCTCGCATTTTCCTGTTCGGTGCCACATCCACTCATCTGCATCTGACTGCTGCTGCTCGGTGTCACCGATCTGTTCTCTGCACATCCCAACCGATCAGTCAGCATCCCGCCATCCCACATCAGGCATCGCCCCGCGGCGGACTGCCACTCAAAAAAAGCGAGCGTTCGCATCGCCTGTGCACCCGTCCAACACTCCGCCGCCGCCATGGATCCCGCATCGCTACGGCGCAAAGACACCACCAAGGGTCCTCCGCTGAGGATCCTGTCGCTTGGTAGGTACTGCCCCTCGTTCTCCCAACCCCACCAGTTCGAGCTGACCAAACGAAGATGGAGGCGGCGTTCGCGGCTACTCCATGCTTATCATCCTCCAGGAACTCATGTACCGCACCTACGTCGAGTGTGAAGGAAAACCTCCGCGTCGTGACCAAATCCCGAAACCGTGCGATCATTTCGATCTCATCGCCGGCACCGGCACCGGCGGTTTGATCGCGCTCATGCTAGGCCGGCTGCGCCTGGATCTCGAAACATCCAAAGAAGTCTACGTGCGGATGACCCGGAAAGTTTTTGAGACCGATAAGACTATCGCTGGTATTCCCTACCGATCGACCCTGTTCAAGGCCTCCAAGCTCGAAGAAGCCATCCGCGAATGCGTTCGGGAACATACGGTTTACGAGGCAGAGGGGAATGACAAAGCCGATGCCAATCCACGCGCGTCGATGGCCAGCCTGCCTTATAGCTCTGGCTCAGTGCCTCAACGGACTCTTAGCCGGGGAAGTTTTAGCATGCAGCCGCCTCCGTCAACTGCCTCCGACCGGAGGAACTCCACGTTTATCAACGGTCTGCGCTGGGGTCAGCCGGATGCCTCGCTTTACGATAATCGGGAAAATCGGACCAAAACGTGAGTAATTACGAAGATTATACTTGCACATGCTAACTTTTGATGTCAGAGCCGTCACTGCTCTTTACAAAGGCACTCCGCGCAACACACCCGCCGTGCTCCTCCGATCCTATGACTCGCGCCGGGAACCACCGCCGGAATTCAACTGTACCATTTGGCAAGCGGGTCGCGCAACTTCGGCCACGGGATTGGCTTTCAAGCCAATTCAAATCGGGCAACACGTCTTCATTGATGAAGGGGCTGGCACGTATAACCCGGCGCCACAGATCCTCGACGAGGCCGTCGTGAATGAGTGGCCTGGTCGCGAGGTCGGCGTGTTTGTTAGCGTTGGCACCGGGAAGCGGCCAGCTGGTACGAACAGTCGCCAGCATGAATGGTGGGAGGATTTCTTTGGTGATGCACTCGGTACATTTGCCGAGGCCCGGAGGCGACTGATCTCAAAGATCGAGGGCTGCGAAGATATCCACCAGGATATGCTGCGCGACTACCTCGCCCAGCGCCAAGTGAGCAAGGATAACTATTACCGCCTCAATGTCGAGGTCGGAGTGGGCGAATTCGGTATGAATGAGTGGAACCGGCTGGCCGATATCAGCACCAACACTCGTCGGTACCTGGCAAAACCGGACGTGAAGAAGATGATCCTGGATGCGAGCGTCAAGTTTGCCAAAATCGACCGTATGAACCGTCGCTTGGCCAACCACGCTGCCGCCGGCTGGGAGCGTGATGACTTGTCCTTTGATTTGGAGCGGGAGGAGATGACGGTCTCTGACCACAACGTGTCTGAGCTGCCTCCATCATCCCATCAATTCGCGGTGGAATTACCCGCCGAACCCGTCGAGTACGCTCCTCACTCACCGGTGCAAGCAGCACCGCCCGTCACCGTGTCTGCGCCTCCACCCACACCAATGTCGGTCGATTCGCTCCCAGCGCATCCAACGCCACAAGATAATTACGCCTCCTCCTCCAGATACTCCGCCAGCGACGTTTCCAGCTACCGACCCAGCCACGAGTACAGTCGGCCCACATCGCAGCAGCAGCAACAACAAAACTCGCCCCGGCGAAGTGGAGAGAAACTCACCCCTCACGACGGCATGGGGCCCCCGGTGCCGCCTCCAATACCGCCCAAGACCCCAATCCAACACTCCGCTCCGTATCCGGGCCAGGATGATGGAGGGATCTCCATGCCAGCACCGCTGTTCTCCCAGGGATCTGTTCCTGCTGGGGGTAAAGTGCGGCCTCCCTATCCGGTGGATGAGCCACCACCCGCGGTGAACCGCCAGCGGAAACCGAGCTATCACGTACGGTGATTCGAGTGACGGTGGGGCATTTTTAGATTTTGTGTTTTGTTTGTTTTATCTCTGTTGGATACCCTGCATGCAGAGGAGACGGGCGGAAGACCGGAGACTGGTAATGACTGACGATGATTACGATAATCCGCAGATGGTGGGGGCGCATAGTCTGTATAGTAATGATTCGGCAGTAGATGAAAAGTGTTGAGTCCTACCGTGATATCTGTAGTTAGATCGGCCTAAACGGATATACACAGCCACACTGTGGCGCATCCAGATCTGACGCGCGGCGATCACACCTTCCAGGGGCGCAAGACTGTCATCAACGTGAAACTTCTTCCACCGAATCCATGATTAGAGAAAACTCCCCACCGAAGCCAACCATAGACATTGCCTGTCTGCTGTACCACGGTTGAAATCAGCGGTACTTCCAGCTACCTTGGCAACCAGCCAAAACTCATAGCTCCACTTGGTACCCGCCCGTACCTCCCAACCCTCCCCCACACGGACTGGCCCAGCCACTCTGTTTCTGCTTCTCCCCTATTTTCTTACTTCCTTCCTCATCGCTTCTTTTCTTCTTCTCTTCTCTTCTCTTCTCAATCTTAGTGACCTCTCTGGTTATCTTCATCTCTCTACCTACATCTATCACTCCTCAATATTAATTTTCCACCTCCGTCATATCAAATGATCATCGGGCCGCTGACGTTCCTGGCGTCGATCCCTTCCATCTTGTTATAAGAAAGTCGCCCCTTGCATCACGCATTCCTCCTATCTTTTCCTCGTGGCAGATACTCCCTCTATGGAAGCACTCTGAATCAGGAGTATTGTTCTATCACGCTCAGTTTACCGACGAGTTGTTTAGCGCCGGTGAGCGCGCGGCAGGACAGATTTGTCTCAGGTAGACGCCGAGTCCCGCACTCGCGCTCTCCGACCTTCTCGACCTCCCACTGCCGGTCGGTGGTATTCTGTCCTCTCCAATAACCATGGATCCCTACGATTCTACCCTCCTCCTGGCTCGCGCGGACTCCTCGTCAGGTGGCCGACCGCCAATCTACAAGGCCATCGGTATCTCACTCGCCGTCGCATCGGGTGTCTTCATCGGGATATCGTTTGTACTCAAGAAAACGGGTCTGCTCAAGGCCAACGTCAAGTACAATGAGGAGGCAGGCGAAGGATACGGATACTTGAAGAACGTGTGGTGGTGGAGTGGAATGACGCTGATGATCCTCGGCGAAATTTGCAACTTCGTGGCCTACGCCTTTGTCGATGCTATCCTGGTGACGCCCCTAGGTGCGCTGTCAGTCGTGATCACGACCATTCTGTCGGCTATCTTTCTCAAGGAACGACTTAGTTTCGTGGGCAAGGTCGGCTGTTTTTCATGCATTATTGGGTCCGTCGTTATTGCTATGAATGCCCCCCAGCAGTCGTCGGTCAGTGATATCCAGGAGATGCAGCAATATGTCATCACCCCTGGGTTTTTGTCCTATGCTGGTGTTATCATCGTGGGATCGATTATCACTGCGCTCTATGCCGGCCCACGCTGGGGCAAGAAGAGCATGTTTGTCTATATCAGCATTTGCAGTATGATCGGTGGGTTGAGTGTTGTTGCGACTCAGGGGTTGGGATCTGCAATTCTCGCCCAGGCCCGGGGCGAGTCACAGTTCAAAGAGTGGTTTCTCTACGTCTTGTTTGTGTTTGTCATTGCGACGCTGTTGACGGAGATTATCTTCCTGAATGTAAGTTGCCCACACACCAAAAAGGGTTGAAGGTGGACTCATGTGCTAACTTTGGCTTACAGAAAGCATTGAATATCTTCAACGCCGCCCTCGTCACCCCAACCTACTATGTCTTCTTCACCAGTGCCACGATCGTGACTTCCGCCATTCTCTTTCAAGGGTTCAAGGGCTCCGGAATTGAAATCGCTACCGTCATCATGGGATTCTTCCAGATCTGTGCTGGTGTGGTTCTCCTGCAGGTGTCCAAATCAGCCAAAGATGTTCCCGACGCCGCTGTTTTCAGGGGCGACCTCGATCAAATCCGTGAAATCGCTACACAACAGGACCCCGAATCCGAGCCCAAGGCAGACTCAATTCGCGGCGCGGCGTCCATCATCCGCCGGATCTCGACCGCTCGCCAAACCATGGCAGCCGAAGAGGCGCGTCGCTTCTTTTATGAGAAGCAGCAGGATACCTTGAAACCCCCGTCTGAGAATGAGATTATCGAGTGGGATGGTCTGCGCCGGCGCAAGACTGTTCTGGGCGAGGGACCCACGATGTCGTCTCGGCCGCATACGCCTCGCACTCCTTCTATCAAGCAGCAACATCCTCCATTGGGCATGTCGCGATTTCCAGACCCTGAAGATGAGGAGGAGCGGCCAGACAGCAATTCCTCGTTTATTGGTGGCATTCGATCGCGAGCCTCGAGTGCGCTTCGTCCGTCTCGGTGGCGATCGGTTAACGGGCAAGATGAAAGTGAATTGCAGCAGATCCCTCAAAACGACACCGAGTATCACGGCGCCGCCGGTCTGGAGCCACCAGTCTACGGCCGAGAGCGCAGCGACACTCCACGGTCCATTGCCTGGGCTGACGAGAAATCCGACGACCAACAACATCTTGATCCTCGACCAACCGCGCGGCGCCAATTCTCCTTCAACTCGGTACTCAACCGTATCAAACCCGGCGGAGCTCCACCTTCACCAAAACGCCACGCCAGCCCGCCTCGTGGTATCTTGCGCCGAACACACCTACCCGGCGGCGACCTCCGCAAATCCGCTACTGAAGAAGAGCGCCTCGGTCTCGTCCATGGCGACTCTCGCACCTCAGGACCAGACGAAGAAACCCTCAACGAGAAACTGGAGCGCTGGTCCAGCAACGAGTCCAACCCCGGCCAATTCCAACCCATGTTCGCTCGCGAAGGACGTCCACACGGATCCTCTGTGTCGACGAACTCAACAGCCGCATTCCCACCATACGAAGACCACCACCACCATTACTCTTCTCGCCCATCTACTCGCCAACGCTCGCCTTCCTCGCAACACGATGCTGAAGACGTGAGCTGGCATATCCCCCCGCCGGGATCTCGGTCTCGCACCAGGACGGACTCCAGTTCTCACGCCCACGGTCGCGCTCCACCGCCTGCCCAGAGTTCTTTCTCGACGCATCGCCATCCCAACCCGCTTCCCCCGCTCCCGGATGTTCAGACTGGTGGCAATGAAGCTGACGCGTCGGGAATGAGGTCTGCGTCGGATGAATCCAATATGGGCGTTACTTCGCTGCCGTCTTCTTCTTCCTCGTCTCCGTCTGACGGAAATCATCCTGGAAGCAATAATTCCTCTCGACCACAGAGTGGATGGCGGCGTCAGGCGTCGGAGGGAGATAGCGAAGGCGGGAACTATCACTGATATATGAATGAGTGTGGGCCATCTCCAGATGAGCCTGGTTTCGGCTTACTTTTGATCTATTGTTTCGCATTGGATACGGCGCAAGGCTCTTTGGTTCTGGAATGAGCATGCAAGGCATGTCAATGTATGAGTGTATATAAAGAGAGAAAGAGAGAGATGTCATGATAACTAGATGATGATAATAATGCATTATGAAATAATCCTGAACTGATCATATACGTCCCGTTCACAAACTACTGTAGTATCGAAAAGTAACCGGTGGTATCATTGTCTATTCCTACCGTCGCAACGCCTGTCCTGCATCCATATGCAATGCAAATAAATCGACAGTCATAAATCGTCACCATAGCACGTGTCGTTCTCTCTCACTATCCCCCAAACATCCCCCGTACACTCCTCTGCCCCTTCGCCGCAACATGCACAACAGCGAATCTTGATTCAGATAGTCGGCGCTCGGCCTTGATACTCTCCAGCACCCTAGAAAGCCGATTAGAACACTCACTCCTCAGGCACACCAAAAATCAGAAGGAAAGAGGGAAGAGAAGAGAGGAAGGGACATACCACTCAACACTAACAATCTTAACACCCTTCCACCCACCCCTCGCAATCTCTTGTTGAAGTTTCCGTGCTGAAAGGCCTCCTCCTGCACCTAGTCCAGCGCCTGTGTTCGGCTGTCCGACAATAACATGAGTCACGCTTTTCCGCGCCATGTTAATGGAAATGTTGGCGCCGTGCGCGACGAGCAGGTGCTTGAGTTTGTGGTCTGAGATTTGGGGGAGGGTCGAGCCGTTTATGTAGATTGTTGTTCCCGTGAAGACGGTTGATTTTTGTTTTGGGGATTGGTCTGACGAGCGTGGTGTTGAAGTTGAAGATGAGGTGGCATTCGCGTCCACTGTATTATTATGTATATGTGAAGAGAAGATGTTCAATTCCGAGTCCGTGGCGTCCTGCTGGGAGTCTGCTGGTATTGTTGATGGCGAGTTCTCCTTTCCATCCTCCTCCACCTTCGCCTTCTTGTGATTCTCTCCAGCTCCAGTATCGGCCTTCCTCTTGCCCACCCCCATATAATTTCGAATATCTCTCACTCCCAACTGGCTCCGCCGGGCATCCTCATCAGAAACCCACCTCCACTCCCCCTTCCCTGTGGCCGACTGCTGCGTTTCCGATTTATTAGGCAAGCAGTCCCCGCTCCGGAATTGGGAGGAGAGCTTGCGGGAGCGCGTCTCCCGCCAGGCTGTCGTGCCTGAATACGGATTCTCGGCGCGTTGATGCCCGGTTGAGGAGGAGTTCCAAGCGTCGAAGAGTAGGTGGTTGCGAGGTTCCACTGGGACGTTGGGGGATGGCTTCGGCTTCGGTTTTGGGTCTGGATCTGGATCTGGATCTGGCATGGTATTGGATCTGTGTCTAGCTAGGGATTCGGACAAAGGAGGGTAGTTCTTGGTGTAAATTCATCGATTCGTAATTCTGGTATTTTGGGTGGAGGGGATGAGTGAAAGATTCAGTTTTCTGTTCGTGACTTGGCGATGATGAAGTTGGAAATGCGGATCCGTGGTTGACTTGTTTGGTTTTTGCTGCTTCGGGATAGGGCTTAGGGTCACGTGTATATATGAGTGTGGACGTGCTCTGTTGAGAATCGCAAAGACAGAGAATAACCTGGTCGTTATTTTTCCTTTGTATGTGGAAGACTTCTTTCATGGTACCTCCATTGTATTAGTCGTCTTACAGGTGTCTAGTATATGTGTATGTGTAAGATATATATCTCGCTCGCCCATGCTCCGCGCAAATGGCCAACCCCATTATATTTAACACACCTCCTATAAATATAAACAGACTATGAAGAATTCATCAATAGTCCAAATTTGCTATTAAATATCCATAGAGATTATACACAAGGATTAGCTGTCATCGTGAATGTTGTGTGTCTATGCATCTGCGCTGCGATGCAACGGGAACACTGCAACATTATATTAAGACCTAGAAATGCAGGGACGATACAAAATAAGAGTCTGACACGGTTAAGTATTACTGTGCCAAATGCCTGACCTTAACCAACGGTCAGTCGGACTGATAAATGCCCGTCACCTCAGAGTATATGTGTAGAATGTCTCCGGTATCTAAACATCCCAGCAGTTTCACTGTCAAGTTTTTTTTTACAAGTAGCAATCTTACTCTGATAGAGTTAAATAATCCCGTAATAGCACCAATAAAGAGATACAGACAGCACAGACAGGCACCATGTACATATTCTATATCAGATAGAAAACAACCAGTCCTTCTGGAAGCCTGCTGCAATCCGCCGCACAGAACACAGCGCACAGAGAGCACACGATCTGTAGAACTCGATGCCCGGCACCTACCCTTCCGCATACAGATTGCATTATCTGGTCATCTACCGACAGGCTCAGTCCAGCCACATGTTAAAAGACTATCACTCTCAGTCCCAGCCATGGCCGTAAACTACAGTCAATGGAGGGTTCAATGCCTACCCTACACCAGCCCTAATGCTAAATCAAGGGATTTACCAACCGCCAGGGAGAGACAACTACATCCCGCCACCTCTGATCAGGCTGACGCACAAGAAACACAAAAGAGAAACAGACCAGAGATCGAAACCAGCGGTGTGCTCCAGAGAACTTACATTCCCAGCCATTTCCGACACACCCAGAAATCTCAGACAGGATCTGAGACAAGACAGCGGCATCTGAATGGCACACATGCTTCGAGAATGTGCAGGCCACGCGCCACCGCGGTAGAGAGGCAAGGATGAGCACGCCCCGTGGCCAAAACCTGCGAAGACTGCATTCTGCGCATTCCTCGATGCGCTGGATGGCAGCCAGTGACAGTTACCACAGGAGAGACGGTGAGCTTTTTTCTTTTTTTTTTTAACCCATCTCGTGTTCTCCGGATTTGACAGACCCTGCGCTTAGCTTGCATTATTGTGTCCGCATAATGCGTACAGCTACTGCAGTCTATGCGAAGAATGTCTAGAGCGACGATCGGGCTGAAGGAGGGGGGGAGTGTGAGTGTCGGCCAGTGGCTATCGCCGACGGGCGTAGAGGATGGAGTACATCACTGGTTAGTAGTCGTGACACCCTCTAATTAGCCGACTTGGCTTGCCGAGGTTCCTTTCCATCATTGTTAATTATAATGCCCTCTTTCTGGTAGGACTACTGGTATACTGACGGCCCTCCACTTCTTCTTCTTCTTCCTCGCATATGCAGCGCGGGTCGCTGCAGCAGGAATGCCAGATGGGAATTATCCAATTTTCTCATGGTTCCTTGTGCCACGTCTGCACGCAAGGGGGGGCCTAGAGCGGAACAGCGGTCTGGCCGGTGAAGATAGCGCGACTTACGTGGTCCCACTCATGCTCGGTCAGATCGACGATCGGCGGGCGGTTGCAGTTACTGTGATCCAATCATTTGTCGCTGTGTTGTTACACCTTTGGCCCGAGCCATCCTGGCTCCCTTTCGGAGACTCTCTAGGGCTGGCCTGGGCTAGAGCTGACTCGACCGGAGGAATCGCCGCAGAAGGAATAGTAAAACCAAGATGAACGTGCAGTCGATCTCCGGGGCAGAAGGGGCCCACGACGGGAAAACAATGCAATGCGAGGTTAATTCACGTTGCACGGCCCCTCTGGGCGGGTGTGTTGCGCTACTATTCGTGTGCGAGTTGGGTCTTGTCCGACCTTTCCGTGGATGATTCTGCTGGGCTCGTGAGACCTGCCCGTCACACTCTCGGCCAACCCTGGTCAAGCCAGCCGCCAACACAATTCATTCTCGCCCCCCTCTTTTCCTCTTGCCCGAGTCCGCCGTCTCACAGTGGATCTAGCTAGCATCAACGTCTAGACGGCATCGGGCATATCCTACGGCCAGCGCGACGCTGTCCTCCCGTGGCCTGGGGGCGTGGCAAGCATGGCCTTTCCTTCTAACTTCCTCTGCACGGATAGATGCGCTGCAGGGTCACTGGCCGCTGCAAGGTACGGGCGAACCGGTCGATCGATGCTAGATTGACAGTGGTAGTGGAAAATGTGGAGGTTCCTTTTTCTCTTGTTACGTATTGCTCAAACACTATCGAACCAACTGGAGGACGAAAAGGGGCAGAATTCTCCTTGCATTCTTCAGCGGACCAAATCCGAAACGGCTCCCGCGATCCATCATATCCAAATTGTGGAAAGTGGTGGTGGGCTTGGCTGGCGCCCGGGCTAGTTTGAGTTGGGGTCAAAAGAGATCAATTCCTCCGAAAATCCCCTGGCCCACTTCCAGCGGCCGGTCCTATTGCTTGATTTGCCGGTGAATGGCCATTCCTTGAACTACTCCCTGTACGATGACTGTTATGTGCAGCGGGTGTCGGGCCGTCGATAGCGACCTGCGACGGTTCAGGGATCCATCAGCAGGATGGATCCATAGGACTAGTGCCAGAGCTTCCCGTTAGCTTCTGTACCTGCTCGAATATTGTGTCTTCATGTACTCCGCATGGGTTTGCATGAGCTATTCGTGGAAAGATGCCACCACTACCACTTCAGAGATATCCTATATCCAAATACTGTAAATACCTGTTCAACTGATCAGATAGTAAAAAAAGAATGGAAATCTCCGACCAACAATTCCCCCCTCCCACCCCGTTTCTACCCGACCCCAGTACAGAGGGTCCGTGTGTCGGGCTCGACTCGAGCCTAGAGAGAGCGCTTACAAAGTAACTATTCTTAGGCGGAAGATGAAATCAATTCATTGGGCAACAGGTCAACTAGCATTCCAGAGAATGACATGTGTCAACTGGGTGCGGAGAGAGCGAGAGAGCAGAAGTATGCAAGGGAGCAGTCCAAAAAAAAAAACCAGTACACCGCCGCTCTCTTTCCTTTTTCCTTTTCTTTGGGTTCGATTTCCATCCCTTGCGGGTGCCCGAAAAGAGCAAGAGATAATAATAAAAAATAATAAAATAATGAAAAATACCTCGTTTCAGTCCGGACTACCGTCGTGGTGCGCTGTCCGCCAGTAATTTCAGCGAGTGTGACGTGCTTTGCCCTCTCTCCCTCTCTCCACTGTTATTCACGGCCCGCCCTTAACGCCCTCCAGATCGCCCCGGCCCTATTACGCCATCGTCTGGATCGTCCCACTCGCGTCGGCTACAGCCGTGGTGAGAGGAAGTAATACCCAGCCAGTGGTCCGAGGCTGGGCTGAGCTACCGTTTCATAGAACCTTGCGTCCTATCCCTCACTCTTCCTCCCCTTCCAGAGAGGGTCCTAGCCCAGCCCCCTCTCCGTTCTGGGCTAACTAATCGACGGTGCAGCCGCCGCGCATTCAGGATTCTCAGTCTGTGCAGCCGCTGACAGATGTCTTGCGCCGTCGATTGGTGTGGACGAGGAGGGCAGATCGCCGTCGATCAGAGTCTCGACTCTCTGTGCTGTCTTTTCTCTCTCCCCCTTTCTTCACCCAGGACATCTATCTCATCCCTGGTTCGGTGAGTGGGACCCGCGCTCGTGGGGACCACGAACTATGGTCCGGACATTCGAGTTAGTTGGAGGAACTGACTAGTCACTACTGCGCAGTCCTTGGCCTAGGATCCTTTTAGTGCGTGGTGGTAGGGTTGTAGTCTCGCCCGCGCAACACAAGAAAAAGCAATCGGCCGGTGGTCCATCCCTGTCCCCGGTCGGGTTGGCGATGGCCTGTCCCTGCAGAGATGGAGAGAAAATACAATATTATTACCGATGTGGTTCCTGCCGCTGATCCGGATGGTCCTTGCGTGGTGGCGGTGATGGATCTCTAGACTCGATGATCCAACGCACGGTTCTGTCCGGCTTTGCTCTGTATCTGACCCACTGGTGGAGAGAGAGAGAAAGAGAGAGGGAAAATGGCAGTAATGGTCGTAGCAATTATGATAAGTTAGTCGGGAATAATCCGTAGTTAGTAAGATGCTACTTCCCTAACTGGTAGAAAGAATAATAATAATAATCGAGCAAGTCAGGACTATTATTTTCCCTCCCAGCCTCCCTCTCTCTCTCTTTTCTTCTTCTTCTTCCACTGATCGACTTTCCCGCCTTTTGTCCTGCGGCTCGGCGTCACCTCACTCTGCGTATATTCCCCTCTCTTCTTCTCTCTCTCTTGCTCTCGCTTTCTTCGATTCTTCATTCTCCCTTCGTTTTCCTCTTTTCTCTCTCTCCCTTCCCCCACCACCAGCCATCGCATCCACACCAATCCATTCACCCCTGTGTTCGCTGCTGCTCTCTGCACAAACGCATCTCTCCTGCAGATGCGTTTGCTGCAACCCAGCCCCCACCTTTCCCGTACGTCCACATCCCTCGGAATGTCTGAGATTTCCCAACCCATCTCTCTCTCTTCCTGCCTTCCACCTTTGTCATCTTGCCTGCGGCCTTATTTTATTATTTGACTGT